ACCCGCCCTCCCTAGCCATTCCCCACCCCCCCACCCCCCTTTATTCAATATTTCTCTCTGCTTCTCCCTGTTCTCGACAAGAATTCATAAACCAGCTCGTAGCTAGTCTTGTACGAATATATATCCTTCCTTAATCATCATGGTACTGATGGTCACTTGCATGGCTGCTTCTCTAAAGAAACTTGCGTCTTTGTTACTTGTACTAACATTTCTAGGGAAGAGTTATGTGTTTGGTCATTTTGTGGTCGAGAAGAGCAGCCTAAGAGTGTTGTCTCCCATGAGTTTGAGATCAAAACATGACAGTGCAATAGGTAACTTTGGTATTCCAGATTATGGTGGCTACCTGGCTGGTTCTGTTATGTATCCAGATAAAGGAGCTAATGGTTGTCAGAGTTTTGATGGTGATAAGCCCTTCAAGTCTAAAGGCTCTCGCCCAACTATTCTACTTCTTGATCGTGGAGGTATAAATAGTTTACTCACAAGTATTCTCTTGCCTGTTGAGTTTTGATAGATTAATGATGTTAAGTCCAAGTGAAGTTTATTTCTTTGTCGAGAACTTGATTCATGGATGTTTCTTGGACTTTGACTCCGCTCTGTTTACACTCCATCTTTTTTTTTATTGATTTGCTAACTTGTTTGTTAACAATTTGATCAACTCTGTTATAGAGTAGCTAATAAACCTCGTCTAAAATGGGTTTTGTTTGATTTTGCTCTCACACACAACTCTCTCTCTCTTTCTCTTAAACTTTCTTATTTGGTTAATGAGATTTGTTTGTTGGGAATTTGATTGACGGATCACTAATTATGGAGTTAGCGTTGATGGTTAGTTGTTTTCTTTTGCGTTTTTTTTTTTTTTGTTCTAATAGATGACAAAGGCATATTCATTTTTTAGTTATGGATTGGGGTCTAGTTGTTTGCTTATTGAATTTGATTTGTTTGAATTTAGTAAAAGTTATGGTGAGGATGATAGATTTAAGGTGTGAATTCTCTATATATCTTCCTTCTCTCCATATGTTTGAATTTGGTAGAAGTTATTGAACTTGATTTTGTTCGAATTCGGTAAAAGTTATTGTCAAAAATCTATTTCACATTCATTACTCTTCTATCTTGGCTCTCTGGCTTTAACGCAAGGGTTGCTTTCTGTTGACTTCTAGGTTCGATAGGTTGACTGTTTGATCTGGATCAACTGTGAGATAAAAAAGAGGAGTATTTTGATTCATTTCTGAGTTTCTGATAAATATTCTAGCCACCATACTGAACGAAGATTAATTGTGTTTAATTAAATTTGTACTTTTTTTCTTTTATTCTCTTTGTTCTTGCTTTCTCTAGGCCATGGTTTTATAAATTGATGATTGATTAAGACTAGTAGATGATGATCTTATGTAAGGCTTAACAGTGGTGATTAGTTCTGAAAAACTCAAATTCATAAAGTTCAATGACTGATAAGCTAAATCAACCCCACTGTACTGCGTAATTCCAAGAGGATTGAGCTTTCTTGTAATTTATTAAATTGATGAAATCATGTTGATCTTTCCGTTTTCCTTCTTGGAAATGTAGAATGCTACTTTGCCTTGAAGGCATGGAATGCTCAACAAGCCGGAGCTGCAGCAGTGTTAGTGGCTGATAGCGTAGATGAGCCTCTAATAACTATGGATTCTCCTCAGGAAAGCAAGGACGCAGACGGGTATATAGAGAAGATTGGAATCCCATCAGCTCTGATAGAGAGGTCACTTGGAGAGAGCCTGAAACAAGCCTTGAAAAATAAAGAATATGTGGTGGTAAAATTGGACTGGAGAGAGTCAGTGCCTCATCCTGACCAGAGAGTTGAGTATGAGCTTTGGACAAACAGCAATGATGAATGTGGGGCTCGATGTGACGAGCAGATGGATTTTGTGAAGAATTTCAAAGGCCATGCTCAGATCCTCGAGAGGGGGGGTTACACTTTGTTCACTCCACATTATATTACTTGGTTTTGTCCCCCGCCTTTCATTCTTAGCACTCAATGCAAATCTCAGTGCATAAACCATGGGCGATACTGTGCTCCTGATCCAGAACATGATTTGGGGGTGGGATATCAGGGAAAGGACGTGGTCTTTGAGAACTTGAGGCAACTTTGTGTCCATAGAGTTGCCAATGCGACCGGAAGGTCTTGGGTTTGGTGGGATTATGTGACAGATTTCCATTTCAGGTGTTCCATGAAGAACAAGAGATATAGCAAAGAATGTGCTGAAGATGTTTTGAAATCACTTGGTGAGTTCTATTCTACACTATTGTATATACAGAATCCTGTTTGAATTGGTGCTCCAATGATTATAATCGACGGACGCAGATTTGCCTGTTGAGAAGATCCAAAAATGCATGGGTAACCCTGAAGCTGATGTGGAGAATGAGGTGCTCAAAACTGAGCAGAAACTGCAGGTCATATTTCTCATTTGGTTTTCACTTTGCTGTTCCTTCCATCCAATAGGCCTTCAAATATCAATACTGCAGATTTCTTTTTCAAAATTGAAATGCAGTGCCCTTAATTGTGTCTTTATATATTTCTGTGTGTGTCCGTGTCTGTACATACATAACAAAGTTCGGCTGTTACTATGTGAACTCAATTGTTTTATTCTGGTTTGTGGGATTTAGGTAGGCCGAGGATCTCGTGGTGACGTTACCATCTTGCCAACAATGGTGATTAATAACGTTCAATATCGAGGTTCGTATTTACTGACCATGTCACAGTGTGTGAATGATCTTTGTTAAAGCAGTGTAAGATTGTGCTTACGCATGTTGAAGAGTTGGGTTTACCATGTAAGCAAGTGGGTTTCAACGCTGAACGCGATTCACTGTTTCAGTTTTTGATTGAGATCTTATATTTGACTTGCCATAGTCCAAATCTCGGTTGATGATTTGTTCGGTTTTAAATTGTATACCATTTCCCTTTAACCTCTGCATTATGTATTTCTGGCCACTCTAGTGGCTACAGGCCAATCATAAGATGCGTTTCCAGCTCTTTCTTAGAAGCGTTTGTGTTGGATTTCTGCATTTCCTTTTCTATTTTTAGTTGGTTATGGCCTTCATTTCCCAAGCTTTTTTATTGTATTTCATGGTTGTTTTCCCATATATTGATCTTTTGATTCTAGTTAAAATAAGAGCTCTAATATTCCCTGATTTTCACCAAACTATTGCCAAATTGTTCTATGAACTGGATACCTTTGACAGTGATCTTTGTGATCCTTTCCTTGGAAGTTGTATATATATCATGGCTTTATGTATCCTTATTTCTTATTTTAATTTTCTTTCTGAAGGAAAATTGGAGAGGGCTGCGGTGCTGAAAGCGCTATGTTCTGGATTCAAGGAGACCACTGATCCTCCAGTTTGTTTAAGTTCAGGTTGGTGGGCATATTTACTTTCACGCTCACGATTGGTGCATCCCATTTGGTTAAATTGCTGAATAATCTTACTCTCCTTTTCGCCTTGATTTATACTGTCAGAGCTTGAGACTAACGAGTGTCTGGAAAGGAACGGAGGGTGTTGGCAGGACAAACAATCTAACACAACCGCTTGCAAGGTAAGACAGAAGAATTCCTATTTGAGCTTTTTGATTGATTCCCCGTAGAAGTTGTTGCTTTCTCTTTGTTTTTTCTTTCACAAATAGTAGCATCTTGAATTTATTCAGGACACATTTAGGGGAAGGATGTGTCAGTGTCCAGTTGTGAACGGTGTTCAGTATGCAGGAGATGGTTACATGTCTTGTAAACGTAAGCTTTTTTCCTTGGTTACACATCCAGTGAGATCAGAAGTCAGTCCCTGTCAAACAATTACAGAGATATTCTGTTTCTTCTTTTGTGTTATAAAACCTTGTACCTATGTGAGATAGACTATCACTCTCATTTATAAGCTACTCTCTTTATTTCTTTGGCAGCTATTGGACCTGGAAGGTGTGCAGTAGAAAATGGAGGATGCTGGTCAGAAACAAAACATGGATTAAGTTTCTCAGCTTGCTCAGTTCAGTGATATCATCTTCTTATTATACTAATCCTCCTCCCCACGGCTTCAGTTATTTTTTCTAAATCTAATAACTACCCTTGAACTTAATTTGTTCGTTCCATCTTGACACAATTCCTTTCCATACTGAGCAGGAGTCCCAGTTGACCGGTTGCCGCTGTCCACAAGGGTTTCAGGGGGATGGCTATCAATGCGAAGGTGCTTAACTTCTATCTGTGTTACTGGAAAAGTTTCATTGTCTACCTCCCCGTCAACTTTGTTGTTCTTCTGAAATATTTCTCTAATAATCATTTTCTACTTTGCACCAGATATCGATGAATGTAAGACGCACACTGCTTGCCAATGTGATGGCTGTTCCTGCAAAAATAAATGGGGTGGATATGAGTGCAAATGTAAGGGGAACCGCATATATATAAAGGAACAAGATGCTTGTATTGGTAAGAGAACAACACCAAGTCAAATAGAAAATGAGATGGTCAATCAGCAATATGATGCTACAAGTCTAATTAAAACTGAAGGCATACTTGTCATCAATTACTTTCTGACCTTCGTTTCTCAATTCTGCAGAAAGAAATGGATCCAAATTTGGATGGTTCCTCACCCTTGTGATCCTAGCCGTTGTGACTGGTTCCGGTATTGCTGGTTATATATTCTACAAATACAGGCTTCGGGTATGTCTAAATGAATACAATGGACCAGCTTTTTATCCATCTTGGGTTACGAATTAGTATCTTTACTTGCAAGCAACGATGTAATCATTAACATTTTTTCTTTCCACTTGTAGTCTTACATGGACTCAGAGATCATGGCTATCATGTCACAATACATGCCACTTGACAACAACCAGAACAATGAAGCTCCACCAGAATCCCAACCATTACGACATGGCACAACTGTGTAAGGTAACGAGTCCTTTTCTTTGTGGTTCCAAGAGAAAGAGTCCTTTTCGTTATCATTTGTCTAACTTTGGTGCTCATACTTTTTCTGCAACCTAACACTTTATGTTGCTTTCTATTTGCAGATGCAAGAACTAAAGCATCCAATCCAGCAAAGAATGATTCCATTAGAGGAGCGGAGATTATGTGTCTGCTGAATGGAAATTTTCGTAACCAATGGCAGCTCTTCTACACAACAGAGAGAGGTCCAGTTCCTGTGCTATATACGGTTTAGAGAAGTACGTATTTTTTAGAACATTTATAGAAGAATCTCCTGAGTTTTCCCTTCTGTATATAGAAATAGTTGAGATCATGTAGATGTTGCTTCAAATATTAAATAAGGACACGTGAAGGTGACAAAAACAGGTACGATGAAGAGAATAAAGAGATGCAAGGATAATGCTGCTTTGAATCAGTTTATTTAAGAACACTTTTCAACAATTTCTACCTGCAGAGCATACTTGATGATACTGTGTTACTGTGTAAAAGAAAGGTCTGTAGTCTATAAATTAATTAATAATAAGAGTGACTATTCTTTGAAAACACACACACACACACAATATGGATCACTGTATGATTTTAGAAACAACCATACCATATAAGGAAGTAGCAGCTGCTGCTGCTGGAATTTATTAAAACTAGTAAGTTTATTATTGTGGTAGCTTACTTTTTTTTGTTCAATTATAAATTAACAAAATACTGTTTGATTAGTTAAATAATTTTTTTTAAAACTAGAACCATACATATTGTATTTTAAATTTTAATTTTGTAGAAGATAAAATAAATTTTTTTATTGATGAAAATCTGCTCTTTTTTTTTTAATTTTGCATGCAAAAAAAACATTTATAATAATTTTAACTAAATATATATTTTTTAAAATCTACTTATTTAAAATCATACCTAAAAAAAATCTTTTAAGAGTATGTTTAGGTAAGTAGTGGCTGCTATGGTTTTCATTGACCATAATTTTTCTTTGTCTAGTTACAAACTGAACAACTAGTTCAATAATTTAAAAAAGATTTTGAAAAAAATTATTTATTTATTTATTTTAAATTATTTATTTTTAGTATTTTTAAATTATTTTGACGTGTTAATATTAAAAATAATTTTTATTTTTTAAAAATTATAATTTTAATATATTTTTAAGCAAAAATACTTTATAGAGAAAGTGTTATCATACTCTTAAAAAGCCAATAAAACTCTATTTATTTTTATATTTTAAAAAAAACAACGCACTCTAATATCATTTACAAATATAAAATTGTTAACATATACCTTTTAGTAATTTTATTAAAAAAATTATAAAAACATATTAATCAAATATATATAAATTTTTATTAACAATAGTTTCAACCAAACAAATATTATATTTTAATAAATTATTATTAAAAATATTTTATTTAAATCTATTTTTGTGTCTATAATTATATAAGTTACCATTTTTCGGAACACCCTGTAAAAATATAATAGCAAAAAATCCAACCACACACCAAAATTACTTTGTTTAAGCATTTAAACTGTATTTAACTTAAACAAAAAAGCATAAAAAATAATGTCGTAAGAAATGGGTGCGAAGGATTAAAATTTAACTGAAGTGTCGGGAAATTCAAATGTTAAAGTGAAAAGGCAACCAAATATTATTCGAATGCTCTCGTTGAGAGTCGAACTCAAGACCTCCCGCTTACTAAACGGGTGCTCTAACCAACTGAGCTACGAGAGCTGGTTGAAGCTTGTACTTGATTATTAATATTTAGTCTAAAAAAACAAAAACCACTTCAAAAGATAACAGGGGCAGCAGGAGGGTAGAAGGAACGCCTTTGATGAAAATGAAATCAATGGAAGCCAAGCCCCTCCTATTCCTCTTCCTCTCCAATCCATCAAAATCCATTACCATCTCTCCTTTCTCGCACCAGTTGTTAGCATTGTTTTCTTCTTCAGTTGATATACCAAAGCACGCCACCAATTCGGAAGCAGTAACAACATTGACACAAGAAGAAGTAACCAAAATCAACCTTCTAATCCCACGTTTATGTCTATTAAACCACTTAACCACCGCAATCCAATTAATCACAACGTCTCTCCTCGCTAACCCACCTCCAAAGTCCCTTTCTTTTTCCATTCTCGCTCACTCTCTCACTACCCAACCAGACATGACCAAACCCATGTCACTTCTCACCATTCTTAGGCACACGCCACAAGCACATTCACATCTTTCACCTATAAACACCATGCTTATCACTTCATATATAAAAAAGAAGAGACCCAAAGAGGCCTTGAAAGTGTACAATTGGATGCTTAGGCCTGGCTCTCCATGTAAAGTTGAAAAGATGTTATTTTGTGTTTTGGTTAATGGGTTGTGTGAGATTGGTTGGGTTCTTGAGGGTTTGAAGGTCTTGAAAGACATGGTTAGTGTGGGGTTTTTGCCTATTGGTGGGTTAAAGGAAAGGGTCTATAGGAGTTTGTTGAGCGAGGCTAGGGTGAAGGAGGCAGTGGAGTTAGATAAGGCTTTATGTGAATGTTTTGAGGATGTTAGTGGTGAGGGTGGTAAGAAAGTTATTGACTTGTTGGATTCTTTAATTAGGAACTGGTCTGAGTAAGAAGCAGGTATGCTTTAACAAATTTTTTTCCCTTTGGAACTGCTTTAACTGATTCATTGAAGTTCAGTATGTGTGATTGATTATTTTTTTTATTTTTTTACGATGTGAATTATTGAATGTTAATAAATAGGGTGTAAGATATGGGCATTTTGTAATTGTATTCCAGATATAAGACTATTTTATATGAACTAAACAATGATAGGATTTGGCTGTCTGTTTGCAGTCACTGATTCTCTCTCTCTCGTTCCACTGTACTTAGAGAATGAGAGAGGAAATATTCAATGAGATAATCCTGCAAAAAAAATGTCTTTATATTGAAATGAGCAGTGATATTAGTGAAGACTGAAGAGGATTGAAAAAAGGAAAAAAGACGGGAAACGGGTGTATAATCATTTCTGGCTTGTTGGTGCAGAACAATAAAGTCAGTGGTGCTGAAAAGTAGCTGGATTTTTGGTAATCTGCTAGGGAGCTATGCTCTAATTGTTTCCTCTCAGTGGGTTAAAGAAGATGTATGTTAAATTTTACTGATCGCTAGACTTGGACATTTGGCTTAGAATTTACCTAACGAGTGACGAATATAACATCCAGATAATGGAGAGGATTAAGCTATTAAAACCAGCATCCAGCTGAAAATATCAAAGCCATATGTTATGTAGTAAGAATTCACAATTTCATGAGCTTAACCTGGTTTTCGTTTGTTTTGATGCATCTGCTGAAGTTTGCATTTCATTTGATCGCTTTTATGAAGCCTGAGAAGATCCTTCATCCTGCTTGAACCTTTGTATAAAATGAATTAGTTCTGTGGTGTAATGTTTTTGATGCTGGAACAATTCTGGGGGGAGTTAAAGTGCACTCTAAGGGAGGCGTGAAATTAGGATGGGATGTGAGGATGTGAGTGCAAGTTCATTCCCTTCCATTCCCAACCCTGATCAATTGTATCCAAAATACTTGAAATTATACCTCCCTTCTCCAATATAGTTTTAGCATTGTTCGAAGATAGTTATGCTGTCTTTTCCTCTTCTTATCATAATTTCATTTCACAGCTAGACTGTATCATCCTTCTTTATACCCAGGTAAACATTTCATGCTTTCATGCAGAGTAGCTTCCTATATCAAAAGTGTAAAATTTCTTTTGATACATGTGGATAGGTGGTCATGCTGCAGTGAGTTCATTCTGCTCTACTTTTCCAGTTAAAACAATTGTTTTATGAAGAGTTCAGTGTCTATTCTCCTTTGCTCTTGTGTCCAAAAAGCATCTCTTAAATCTCTCTTTTTTCTTCTTTTCCAAACAGACTTTTACTCAAAGGAAGCTGGCCAAATATCCTATTTTTGGAGTGCTTTTGGACAGAAATTGGTTTATCTGGAGCTTTCTGAGAACACTTTTGCTACTTTGGCTATAGTTATTTAAAATATGACTATATTCCCTTCTTCGTTTTCCATATCTCTAGTTTTCTTCTCTCGCCATAGTTAGTGTAGTGTTGCAATGCCCCACCTCCAAAGACAAGGATATTGGCTTGATCATTTTTTTACGTTGTCCAATTTTGCCTTGCTGCATAAATGTTGAAGTCAGAAATTGAGAAAGTCTTGATGGTTGTGGTTACTTTCCTAACATTGCATTCTGCTCATAGTTGGATCATTCTTTTCTGTTACCTCATTTAGCGCTCACATGCTTTGAAAAATATTTTGTTTCTGCCTTGAACAGCTTATAATGTTTTCCATGTAAGTTCTTGACTCATTATATAACTGCTATGTCCTTACTTGACCACCATATTATGTTATATTGTACTATAATTTAGCTTTATATTCTTTAGATTCTGTATAGCTCTCTCTCATTATTGTTTTTCTGTGTGGCAGTCTGAAGGTTTTACATTATAGACGACGCAATGAGTTTCTGAGACCACTCTCTATCTCCGTCAAATCCTTTTTGAGCAGGCCGTGCTTTGCCATTCAGGAATATCAAGGCACCGATTCTCTCTCCGTCAGTTTCTTTCTTAAGTTTTTGGTCCTTGTGATGTTTGTTCCAACAATACTGTGGAGCTATCATATAGGATTGAAGGAAGCAAACATATTGCCATTTTATTTGGGAATAGGAGATGATAGGATGGCTATTGATGTGATATCAATGTTTTAAGATTAGGGAAAGCTCACATGCCATTCTGACTCGAGTACAGAGTATCTTCTTTTTCGGGGGTCTAGGACTTATGTATCATCTGGAAGACTTTAATCTCATCCGTGCTACTTTCCTTGTAAACTTACAGATTCAATTATTCGTATTTTACCCACTTTTGTTCCTCTTCTACAATAGTTATATGTGGAGTTAGCAACATTTTTGTGAAGGATTTCTCCTTAAGTGCACAAATGCTGCAAAAGAGAGATCCTTGCCTAGCTGATAATTATGTTATGTTATCCAGTCAAATATCCTCAGCATATCACCATAGAAGACTTCAGGAACTGTAATTTTTTCCTTCTCTACATTCTTTTCGCCAGATTTCAAGGAAGAATAACACACGCCAAGGCGTCTGTTAGTTCTGTCTGATCACTCTGGCAGATGAGAAATGGCCCAAATGATTTGTCAGCTCGGGGCAAGTTTGTATCTGATTGAAAGGCCCTGTATTCCTGTTTTCTCACTGGCCCGATCCATTAGCTTGTTTAAACAACTATTTATTTTAAATGTTTATTATTATTTATTACATTTTGGAATGATATGTGTGTACTGCTTACTATCTGGTAGTAAAAGTGATGCACAATATTTGCTGTCCTTCCATGTCTCGTACGCCACAGTAGCATTCTATTTTGTGAGGATGTTTGTTTGTGCTCTGATTTGAACTAACAATTGGTTGAGCTTCCATTTCCTAAATTTGCAGGAGCTATTACTGAGGCAAGCATTTGGTAGGGTCATTCAATACCTGTTCGATATCTTTTTCTTACATTCATATTGCAGGATTGGATAAGTAAATAAACAACGTTCGTTTCTGAATTACAAAATGAGACAATTTTTGGAACTTCATAAATGCTGTTTAGAATATCAACTCATCCAACTGCATTCACTTGCCAATGAACGAAAAATGAACACAAATTTGACCGAGGTTACTTCCATAAAACTTGAATAAATTATGCTGATGTCAGTTTTTTATTTTGTGATTAAAATAGCATTTTTAAAACTAGCAGTAATATTTTGTTTCATGTTATTCAGAAATAATCATACAATAGATGTGAAAATCTTAATAAATTATTGCACTATATTCCTAAATAAAACATCAATGTTTTTTTTTTTTCATGGATCACAGGAAAGACCATGAAGTTGTAAAAAGATGATGATGATTTCACGAGTTGAAAAAATCAAGAATGATGCATGACAAGCCTATAGTGTAAGAGTGAGTGTGCCAGAGAAGCAGCATTTTGATACCCGATGAAGGGATATTTTATAATTTTAAAATATATTTTAATAAGATGAACTTATACTTTAAATAAAAATTAAAATATATAAAAAAATGAAAATACTAAAAGTAAGATGAGAAAATATATGAAAAATATGAAAAATTTTGATTTCTTATCTGAAGGGATTTCATTGACCACGTACTGAAATATTGAGCCGCTGAAAACCAGTTTCTTGATGTCACATAGATTTATGATTATCTATGGCTACTTTATTAGTCTTTTAGGATATAACCTCGTGAGGGTGAAGAATGTTGTTTATCACCTTATTGTGTGACTTTCTTGAAACTGCATCGAAAATGGCAGTAAAATGTCAGATCAAGTTTTGTGGATAAAACTTGATCCATCTTTTGGAGCTGATCAATCGGGAACAATAACAACGACAAAATCCTTAATGCCAAGCTGATCAATTGCTAACATATGTAAGAGAAAGTCGTTAGATGCAGATGCTACTTTTCACTATGGTGAATTATTAAATATCATCCAACGAGCTTCATTTTCAGTCCTATAATGTGTGGTCTTCTTTCGTTTTTCTTGCGAGTTTTTAAAGACACATTTATCAGCTTTGGCATTTCACTTCTATTTGCCCAGCATTTAACCGAATTATATTTTTATTTAGGAGATGATTGATCACCACATCAGTGACGGCTAAACAATAACAACATTTAACAGCTTTAACTAGTTTTTATGAACTAAATCATGCTTCTTTTCCTGACATGTTTCTTTATCATGCTTTGCCAGCCGGTTACCAGAGCTTGGAATGTTGAAGCGTAGTGGAAAGGTACCACCTAAGAAGGGACGAGGAAGGGGTGCTGTCAAGCGTAACAAGGGGAAATGATGATTTTCTGGTGTTCTTCAAATTGATTGTTTTCTTGTCTGATGAAGAGTACTCTCTGTTTTTGTTACAAGTGTGGAATTCATGTGTTTGCACACTTTTTTCCGCACTCTTTCCCAGTTTTTTGGGATGATTACTTTCTGTGACAATGGGCATATGTTGGCGAGGTAAAACATTACTACCCATCTAATGTTGTCTATAGAACCACACACTTCTTGCTTGTCTTCAGTGGCTGTCCAGCGCAGGTGCTGGAAAGCAGGATAGAAAATTACAAGTTCGAACTCTATTTCTGCAGTTAAGCTAGTACATCTCCCTCGAGCTTCTTTCAGTGCTCAGTTTACACGGCAGAGATAAATACTCCATCCTTTTGCTGTGTATTCATGACACCAATTTAAGTTTGAATTTAGATTTAAAATATTTACCAATAAATTTTGTGAAACTGAACATATATCTCAAATTGTATATCATAATGAGTTAAAATTTTATCGGACGATACTAGAAAAATAAAACTATATTGTGATAGATTTTTAGGTTAAATAGAATTTCAAAAATATTATTTTGAGAGGGTTGAAGTTATTAAATAAATATTATCAAATCTATCAGATTAGATCTTTGTATATTATTTGGGACATATTTAGAGTTACAGGACGATACTAGAAAAATATAACTATATTGTGATAGATTTTCAGGTTAAATAGAATTTCAAAAAATATTATTTCAGAGGGTTGAAGTTATTAGACAAATCTTATCAAATTTGTCAAATAAGATCTTTGTATACTATTTGGGACATATCTAGAGTTACAGGTGGAATCGTGCTTAGATTGAAATTGGAGTAAAAACTATACATCTTAAGCTTTCTAATCATATATAGTAGGCTCAGTAATTTATCCAGATAAGAAATAACAACATGTTTGAAATCAGAACTGAAAATTTGTTAAAAATATATTAAAAATCAAAGATTCGAACTGCATAGAAAAATTTTGACATGAAAACTTTGTTTTTATTATTCTATTTTATTTTATTTATTTAATATTAAATAATTATTTTTAATTTAAGTTTGTCATGGCCCATCAAACATTGTAAACATGTATGTCAAGGTGGATGACTTAAAAGGTCAGATAGAGAACATATGCTGCACAATATGCCATGTTTATAATAAGATATGTAACTTATTTATAGATGATGATAGTTGTACTAATGTAACTAGTACTGAATTTGTGAAAAAGTGGAGCTTGCACCTTACCAAATATCATATACTTTATAAATTATAGTGGTTGAATGATGATAGTGAAGTGAAAGTGAATAAGTAGGTTTTGTTTCTTTTTATATTAGTAAATATTGTAATGAGATGTTACGTGATATTGTGCTAATGCAAGCTAACCATGTGTTGCCTCGTAGACCATGTTAGTATAATAAAAGAGTTGTGCATGATGGATTGATAAATAGATATTCTTTTGAAATTAATGAAAAACCTAGAACTTTTATATCTTGAAAACCTAAAAAAATATGAGAATCATCTGAAATTGAAGAGTGAAAAGATGGTTAAAAAGAAAAGCTTATATTTTAAGGGAACTTTCTTTACTAACAAGGTTCTTCTTGGTTTTGATGATGATGCTATTATTTGGCTTGGTCCTGATTTGTTAACCTTAGAAAATATTATCCACAATATAGATTTGAGATTGAATCTTTTTAAATAAAGAAAGGATGATATAAATCAAGCGAGGTTTGAATTTGAGTTTAAAATATATGTTCATCACTTTTGCAAGACTGGACATATCTCTTAAATAGTTTATTAGAACAAGTTGCAATTTTACAAGGCGATACTAGACATATGGAACTATATTTTAGTATATTTTTAGATCAAATGAATTTCATGAACATATTATTTTAGATGATCGAAGTTACTAGAGAAATCTTTTCAAATATGCCAAACTAGACCTTTTTGTATTATTTCGGGCATATCCCGAGCTATAGGTGGAATCTTGTTGTAATTCAAGTTGAGAATAAAACTATACATCTCAAGCTTTATCAACATACATGGCAGACCTGGTAATTCATCCAAACAAGAAAGAACGACATGTTTGAAGCAAGAATTGAAAATCTGCTGAGAATGTCTAAAAATTAAAGACTCAGGCTACATGAAGGAATTTTGACATGAAAATTTTATTTTTATTATCCTATTTTATTTATTTATTTATTTAATATCGAATAATTATTTTTAATTTGGATTTGATATAGCTCATCATAAATTGTTTAGGAATTTATTTCATTATTACAACTTATATTAGTTGATTATTAGTTTAAGCTCATTAATTTGTAATCCAAAAAGGATCTATTAGAGTTAGTTAGATAAAATTATATTATGTTTTTTTAGCTGTAAATTTCAGCAATAAGTTGGAGAATAAACGTGAGTATTTTTTTAGCAAAATAACCTTTCATTACAAAAACAAAAATCACATATTAACTTATTAAAAATTAATTAGCTTTATAACATCATTCACATATCTAGAGTTTTTAGAAGTAAGATTATTTCTGGATTCAAGTTTTTTTTTAATATCTTTGATTTTTAGATACAAATTATTTCTAAGTCAATATTATATTAAATGTAATTTTTAACTTTTTAAATTATTATCTATTTCATTAAAAGTTAGTTGACCATGTACACGTCAATTCCCCTCCCTTCTTCTTGATGGAAGACATACTGTGTCTCCTGAGACGCATGAAGTTTCCGCACCTTTGGATAGCTATAGCTCAGTAAAATTTACTAGTTATCATGCTGATTTTGATACTTAGGTAAAAAAAAGAAGAAGAAGCTGGATCTTCATTAGAAATACCAGATTGAAGCTAGGCTCAAGATCTGCTGATAGATAAAAATTTGAAGTGTGAGATTCATATCTCCAAATTTTTGTTGTCAAAGCTCTAAACGAGTTTCCTTCCAAATAGAGAACGGGAATAGAAGCAAAACCCAAAAATTTGATACCTCACTGGAATATCTGACATGTCTTGAGGAAGAATTAAAACTACGGAATTTATGTTTGATTTTTCTTCTCTATTTCACAATTTTTCAGCATTGTCGAGGATACAATAAATTTTAGTTAAAATATCAATATCAGAGTGGGGAAACCAATGAGAATATCTCGATTGTCCAGGTACAGGATTGTCGGGATATTTCGGCTCCTATAAAGCTGTTTCAAGTCGTTTTTTCACCAATAATCGCCACAAGAACAAGTTCCATCCTTGAAATGATGGAACCGCCTCGCATCTCTTAGGATGATTTCTCTGTCTTCTGTCTTTGAGATAAACTTAGAAGCAGTATGGCAGTCATTGCAAACTCTAAGGTTCTTGGCAACTCTAATAGTAGTTCCAGGAGGAGTGTTGAGTATGCCAAAAGCTATTGCCAGTTTCTCACTGTGCCCACAAAGTATAGTTTCTTTCTCCTCCTCGTCAATATCGTGGAGTACACAAGCAGTATCAGGCACATAACCCTCCTTTTTCAACCTTTCTGACAAGGTCTCAAGAAAATCGTGGAGCTTCTCACTTTGTGGGTGTGATAAATCCCCAGCCAAAAACTTATGCACCTCATCACCATACTCAATCCAACTGCAACCAGGTTCTTTCTTCACACCCATTACCTTCATCCTCCTCCTAAGATTCATTGCTTTATCCCAAAGTCCAGCAGATGAATATATATTAGAGAGTAGAACGTAGTGGCTAGCCACATCAGGTTGAAACTGAAAGAGATTCTCAGCTGCAATTTCCCCAATTTCAATGTTATGGTGGATCCTACATGCTCCGAGCAAGCTACTCCATGCTCCAACTTTGTCAAATCCAGATGGCATGGTATTGACAAGTCCATATGCTTCCTCCACTTTACCTGCTCGACCAACCAGGTCCACAATACAGGCATAGTGATCTGGTGCAGGTTCAATCCCATGTTCGTTTTTCATTTTATGGAACAAGCTCAGGCCCTCATCCACCATCCCTGAGTGACTACATGCGGCAAACAAAGCTATGAAAGTAACTTCAGTAGGCTTTACTTCCCCACCATTGGCTCCTTCCGCCACCATATCTTCAAATAGCTCCAATGATTCCTTTCCTTTCCCATGCATCCCATAAGCCATGATAATTACATTCCAGGTTATGACATTTCTAATAGGCATTTGATCAAATACTCTTCTAGCTAAATTTAAGCAGCCACATTTTGCATACATGTCAACTAATGCACTTCCAACAGTGACTTGTGATGCTAAAAAATTTCTAATGGCATAAGCATGGATTTCTTTCCCCTTTGCTAAAGCTGATAGGGAAGCACAACCAGGAAGGACTGTCATCAGAGTTATTGAGTTAGGTTTGAAAGGAACTTGTTTTTCGTCATTGTAATCGCCATCATGCGTGGACTTTTCTTCTATTCTTTGCATTTCATGAAGCAGAAGAAGTGCATCGCTAGAACGTCCACAAATCACATAACTAGTGATAATTGTATTCCACGAAACTATATCTCTATCCTCCATGCTATCAAATATTCTTTTTGAAGTTTTTATGTCCCCCATCCTAGAGTACATATCTATTAGAGCATTTTGCACATATCTATTTGTCTCCAAACCCCTCTTTATTACATATCCATGTATACCTTCTTTTCTTGAAATTCCTTCACAGCGCACGTAAGCAGGCACGATACTTGACATTGTGGTTGCATTTGAATAAAGTCGAGCAGCAGCTTCCATTTCAATGAAGAGCATCAATGCTTTCTCATCGTGCTCACTTTGTGCATAACCAGTAATCATAGCATTCCAAAGACCAACTTTCCTGTCCAAGACACCATCGAAAACTAGACGTCCACTTTCAACCTGTCCACAATTGCAGTACATGTCAACTAATGCACTACCCACGAAAGAATTCTCGATCACGTCATCAGTTCTCAATGCATAAGCATGAATTTCTTTTCCAGTTCTTAACAGGTCCAAGTGGGAGCAAGCAGGAAGAACACTCGCAAAAGTGACCCCATCTGGTTTAACTCCCTCAAGAACCATAAGCCGCAAGAACATTAACGCTTCCATAAACCGCTCATTTTGAGAAAATGAACTTATCATGCTGTTCCAAGTAACCAAATCACGGTCCTCAAACAATACTAGTAAACTTTTTGCATCATCAAGTCTTCCTAGTTTAGCATACATAGCCATCAAAGCATTGTTTGAAAATGTTCTCCAATGACCCTTTCTAAAACAACACCCATGAATTTGCTTGCCAAGCCACAAGCCATCGCGTTTGCGCAAATTAGAACAAGCAAGCGCCATACTCACCAAAGTAAACGAACTAGGCTCGAATCCCTCCATCAACATCAATCTGAACGCCTTTATTGCAACCTCCCATTCTTCAAACCGACACAACGCAGAAATAATTGAATTCCAAGAAACCTGGTCTCTGTCAGTAATTCTGTCAAACACTTTATAGACATCACCTAAACCTCCGCACTTACCATACATATTCACAAGGGTATTATCTATAGTCACAGACGAGAACGACCCGTACCCGAATTTGAAAACATGGGCATGAATCTGTTTCCCTAAATACAATTCCTGAATCCCTGCCACGGCCTTCAAGACTGCCGGGAAGGCAAAGTTATCAGGCGAAACACCAGAACCAATCATTTCAATGTACGTAGAAATGGCTTCACGGAATAGATTAGAGCGGGATTTGGAGCGAAGGGATTCAATCCATGAGGCTTGGGAGTGTGATATGGAAATAGGTTTTGGAGAAGAAGAGGAAATGGGAGGCTTTGTAGGCTGCTGATGGGAAGGAAGACAGGGTGACGGGCTGAAAGGAAGAGAGATTGGGGAAAGAGGGTGCTGAGTGTAGGTGGACATTTGGTAGTTATTTCAGTTGAGGAAGAAGAGTTCGGAGGTTTTTCAAGATTTTCTCTTACATGGCTCCGAGGCATTCTCATGCTAATCCGAACTGCTGAGGATTGAGGAAGCTGTCCGTCCATAAACCAATCCTTTGGTTTCGATTGCGACACGTGACAGCATGAGAGTTAAAATTGAGGAAGCTGTCCATGCCCATTTGCTATAACAAGTATTTGTGAAACAATTCTAATATGTTGATCATCCTGAGGATTACCCAACCAGCTTCGGTTCCGTAGTCAGGAGTGTATCAAAAGTTTAAAACCAATAATCAAGTGTTTAATCAGTGTTTCTGTTTATTTAGTTATGGTTTCTGTTTCTTAATGTGTTTTTTTTTAAATATTTTTTTATTTTTTTATTTCAAATTATTTTTTTATTTTTTAAAATTATAAAAAAATTACTTGGGTAAAATTTACATAAAAAAGAAATTGACAGAAAAAAAATTAGCATTTTTTTTAATAGCAAGGAAAGTTATGATTGTAAATTCAAAATTTGAAACGAATGTTTAACAAAATTAACTAAGGCTTTTACGCATCAATAAATGTTAATATTGTTATAATGTTATTTTGAAACCAGCTTAAATCTGGTGAGAGTTTAAATAATATATTCCGGTCAATTTAGTGGTACAACCATAATGTCAAAATACTAAAAAAATGCGTAGAAGCCGCTTTTTTTTTTTTTTTTTTTTTTTTTTGTAAGTATTAGCACGACAATGTTTTGGGTGGGCTTGGTTATTAAGGTGTGAACCAGTTTTCTTGACCCATCAGGACAAAATCTGGTTTGTTTTCTTAAAAAAAAATAAATGAATTCCATCCAATGTTTTCAAAGATGATATTTTGAATAAATTTAGATCAAACAAAGTTAATTCACTTAACCCATGGCCTTAACCAACCAAGTTTAATAACCTTTTCTTTTGTAATCTATTTTTTTTTATTTAATTGAATAATTAACAATCTAAAAAACATGAAAGAGGTCCTAATCAAAATTTAAATTAAAAAAAGTAATGAAAACTTAAAAAAAAAAAATACGAGGAGGAGGATTTGACTAAAAAATTAAAAGAAAAAAAGAATCAAAGAAAGGTTAGGTCTATGCGCCTGGAAAGAAATCCAAGCTTAAGCGTGCCTGCACTAGAAAACTTAGGGTCACATTTCTGGTGTTTTTTTTTTTTTTCTTTTCTTTTTTTTTTTTTTGCACAAGGGTGTATCCCCTTTCTCTATAAAAAACACAAGATATTTCGTCTGTTACAACAAATACCTATCATTCATAAACCCAAATGCTGACTATTATTATAATCAGGTGGAGCAAGGAATAAAAATTATGTAAAATGAATTAAACTATAGATATGAATTAATACGCGTGCATTAAAATTCAAGTTGAGAGTATAATTTTTCAATAATTGATAGATAAATGCAATATTAACTAAATTATAGGATGGCCAGCATGATTTTTTCATAAAACGAATATAATTTTTTTTCCCGAAAATTAAGACGATGAACTCAATGCAAAACAACAATGAATTTAACAGTGTCCGAAAGAAAAGTGAAGAAACATAGCTACACAAAATCAATTATTTGGTATGGTCACCAGATTCAAAACAATGGACGTGCTGTTTTTCAGCTCATATATATATATATATATATATATATATATATAATAGGCTTGAATCACACATTTAACACAATTTAAATATTAGAGGATACGATTGTTTTTTCAATTTGTTGTTTGTGAATGCTACAATGGACGTGCTATTTACAACCCTAGCATGAATGACCGAGAAAACCCTCCAAACTCTGTGTAACAAGACACGAGACGTTTCACAAACCTCAAAACCAAAAAACCTCCCTTTCAACTCCATGCCCAAATGCCAACCATTCAACACCAGCTCCATCCTCAAGGCTCTCAACAATTTGTTTTCGTTCCCAAGTAAGTTCCTTTCTCTTTCTATGCACTCTAACTTTTCAGCTCATGCCGTTCCATCCACCAAAACTATTGAAACTGAACCCCTAAACCACACTCAACACTGTAACACCACTGACCAAGAAAATGGCATTGAACCTGACCCCCCAATATCTGATAAGTTATTCAAGTCGGGCTCCAAAATGGGTTCCTACAAGTTGGGTGATTCAACTTTTTATTCCCTCATTAATAACTATGCAAATCTGGGCGATTTTAAGTCTTTGGAGAAGGTTTTGGATCGAATGAAGTGCGAAAAGAGAGTGATTTTTGAGAAATGTTTCATTGTCATCTTTAAGGCTTATGGGAAAGCTCATTTACCTGAAAAAGCTGTTGACTTGTTTGATAGAATGGCTCGTGAATTTGAGTGTAAAAGAACTGTAAAGTCGTTTAATTCGGTTCTTAATGTGATTATACAAGAGGGTTTGTTTTATCGTGCTTTAGAGTTTTATAATCACGTTATCGGTGCCAAAGGTGTCAGTATATCCCCTAATGTACTTACTTTTAATTTGTTTATTAAGGCAATGTGTAAGGTGGGATTAGTTGATGATGCGATCCAGGTGTTTAGAGACATGACGATTAGGAAATGTGAGCCTGATGTGTACTCTTATTGTACATTGATGGATGGACTGTGCAAGGCAGATAGGATTGATGAGGCAGTTTCGCTGTTGGATGAGATGCAAATTGATGGTTGTTTTCCTAGTCCTGTTACGTTCAATGTGTTAATCAACGGTTTGTGTAAGAAGGGTGATTTGTCACGGGCTGCGAAGCTTGTAGACAACATGTTTCTTAAAGGATGTGTTCCTAATGAAGTAACTTATAACACACTTATTCATGGTTTGTGTCTGAAAGGGAAGCTGGAAAAGGCAATTAGTCTTTTGGATCGGATGGTATCGAGTAAATGTGTGCCTAATGTGGTCACACATGGGACAATCATTAATGGACTTGTTAAGCAAGGAAGAGCTCTTGATGGGGCTTGTGTATTAGCTTCGATGGAGGAAAGGGGGTATTGTGTTAATGAGTATGTTTACTCAACACTAATTAGCGGGTTGTTTAAAGAGGGGAAATCTCAAGAGGCAATGCATTTGTTCAGGGAGATGACAGTAAAAGGATATGAGCTCAACACCATTGTATATAGTGCTGTTATTGATGGTTTATGCCGGCATAGAAAGCCAGATGATGCAGTGGAAGTTCTTTCTGAGATGATTAATAAGGGCTGCACACCTAATGCATACACCTGTAGCTCGCTGATGAAGGGATTCTTTGAGGCAGGTAATAGCCATAGAGCTGTTGAAGTGTGGAAAGACATGGCAAAGCATAATTTTACTCAGAATGAGGTTTGTTACAGTGTACTCATTCATGGGTTATGCAAGGATGGGAAAGTCAAGGAGGCTATGATGGTGTGGACACAGATGGTGGGCAAAGGATGTAAGCCTGATGTTGTGGCTTACAGTTCAATGATTAATGGCCTTTCCATTGCTGGCTTAGTAGAAGATGCTATGCAACTTTATAATGAGATGCTTTGTCAGGGACCTGATTCTCAACCAGATGTGGTCACATATAACATACTATTGAATACATTATGCAAGCAGAGTAGCATCTCTCGTGCCATTGATCTTTTAAATACCATGCTGGATCGGGGATGTGATCCTGACTTGGTTACATGCACCATATTCTTGAGAATGTTGAGAGAGAAGCTGGACCCACCTCAGGATGGGAGGGAGTTTCTAGATGAGCTTGTGGTTCGTCTTTTAAAGCGACAGAGGGTTTTAGGTGCATCCAAAATTGTAGAAGTGATGCTGCAAAAGCTTTTGCCACCAAAACCCTCTACTTGGGCACGAGTTGTCGAAAATCTTTGTAAACCTAAGAAGGTTCAAGCGGTCATTCAAACATGTTGGAGCATCCTGTATTAATGATTCATTGGTATGCTTATTACTGCTATCTTACTTCAACCTGAGTTGAATATGATTTTCTTTCTTTCTCTTTTTCTTTTGCCTTTTCTTTTTAATTTGGCTATCAAACCTTAGTTCTTCTACTTCTGATTGTAGTTTTACAATATATGCTTCTGCATGCATGTGTGTGAGTGTGTTGAATGCATGATCATTCATGAGCATTTAATACTAACCTATTTTCTTGCTAATAGGGTTTTCTGTGACGTTGTTGTGAAGCTCATATGATCATAATGAACCTCTAGCTTATAGAGCATAGACTTCTGTCACAATTATATGGAGTGTGTGACCAGGGCAGGTGTTGGTGAATACAAATTTGAAACAAACTGTTGGAGAAGTTGAGTACACTGTGTTTGAGGTACATAACTATCTGTTTCTTCAAATATGTTTTTATTTATTTATTTTTTTCTTCTTCTTCTTCTAGTTAGTGCTTTTGGTTCCTGTCATTATTCATAATGTACAAGTTGGTCTGCTGGGGAGGGAGGGGTGTGGGGATGCATCCTTCGAAGAAAAGGAAAGAAAAATTAAGATAATAGAGTTTGCCAATCCCTTTGAATTTCAGCTAGGAAACACCACTGGAAGTCCCTGAAAGCAGTACCCTGAGTAGAGGCCAAAACACATCTTATCTCATTGTTGTTTCCCTTGAAAGCGAAAAAATCCATGAAAAATTCAGAGTTCTGCTCCATCCACATCCGCCAAAGAACTTCAAATAGAGTGTATCTCTACAGTGGCTGATGATTGTTCTTTGTCCCAAAACCTGGAAAAGACATTGCTAAAAGGTCCTATACTTGATCAGAGATCACCAACATCCCTGACAAACTGAGGAAAGATGTGCTACTTGTTTGGACAGTGCAAAAAGAATTGCTCTGTGTCTGTCACATTATTATTTTTGTATAGCACACATTTTAGTAGAAAATTACATTATATGGCCTGTTTCATGCAGATATCATTGGTATTAGTTCTATGGTCTGCATCATCCAAGTGAAGAAGGCCTTGACTTCATATAAAAGTTTGGTTTTCCATATACAAGTGTCCAGAGGGAAACAAAGGCAAGCCGAGCCTAAGTGATGAAAAAAAAATATATATATTACCGGAATATTACCAAAACTCTGTTATGAGGTCTAGAAAAAAAAAATGGAGAGTGGAAGCAACAAAATGAAATCCGATAACATGAGTTCAAGAGTAGAAGCCAACAAATTAAATCCTATCTTGTCCTCCCATTTGGGTTTTCAGAAACATGGCAGCCACCATATTACCTCTGCCATGTTGAAGAGAAAAGGCGGCAACAACCAAACTAGGGTGGCCATAAATATGGGGAAATACATCGGAGAAAGACTACATCTGTATCCACTGTTCATTCTGTAAGATAATATCTAAACCGGTAGCTAATTAAAATTCCATCAGAGGAAATTGCTGCTAGGATACATGTGAAAGAACTTAAAGGAGTCCAGTTTGGCATTTGAGCCACTTGATTGAAGACCAGACTTAAAATTAATTACCACTCCCGCTGAGCTGCAAAAAATCTACTTTTTTCCAGATTAAGAGCCACAGTAAACCTTCTAACTGGCCAAAAGGATCCTATAATTTTCAGTTCACCGAAACATTAAATGTGTGGCATAATCTAACCGTCTAGCTACTACCACAAGAATCTTAAACAAAGGCATATAATAATGACAAATGAGGGTAGGCCAACCCAAAAGAGAAAAATGCACTTTTCTTCCAATTGTTTCTGCAGCTAATAGAAAATTAATATGACATAGATATTCTTTGCAAAGGTTTATGTGCTTAGTTTAAAAGCCACCATTAGATTTGAATATCATTTGGTCTCTTGATGAATGAAATTTGGCCCAGGAAGCTTGGTTTTAAATCAAAAGCTCTTTGGAAGCGTATGCGAATATTTTAATTTTGGAGATAGATAATCACCGGAGACAGGTTGTTGGTTTGAGCACTGAGAGAACTGGATGAATGTTTAAAGTGGCAGGTATTATGGTGTCTCCGGTAAACATCTAGAAAGACTTTCATAGTTGCTAATATGTATCTAAATTTTATGGATTTTGATATTGAAGTTGGGGAGACCCTTCTCCAGCATAAGGAGATAATATTTCACGGTGGGTTGTTGAAGATAATGTTTAGGCAACCTTTTCTGTTTGGCTTTGTTCCAGAGGAGGTGCAGTCTTTTGTGTTCTCGAACTTTTGGAACTGTTTTGATGGTGCTTAGGATGGTGCTTGTGTTGCTGATAAACATGGAAGATTTTTTTTTTTTTGCGGGGGGGGGGGGGGGGGGGGGGGGAGTTAGTCGTAAGATTTGGGAAATCTTGAGGTGGTCGAATGGAAGTATGGCTTTTCTGAGGGCCTGGAGCTTCCTTTTCATAGGATTGAACCTCCAATCTTGGGATCTTTTTCTCCAGCATTGGAGGCTCTTCCCTGAATATTGATTTTCCTGTAGTTTTGGAGCTGTCAGAAGCTATTTTTTATTTCTTGTCCGTTTTTTGCTCTCATCATTTTGTGGTTAACGTACTTTCTTCGGCTCTTTTGTCTATACTTACAGATGCTGGTTATTTACTCACTTCTGGTTATTTTTTTAATGCTTTTCGTTAAAAATATGGGTTTTCCAATTTTATTTTTGTATGCTAGCGTGCCTTTTAATCACTGTTTGTGGAAATGTTCAAGAGTGGTTTGTCTTCCTTTTCTTCTTTTTATCCCCTCATGGTTACCTGCTCTCTCTTATGTAATGCCCTTAAGCTGTTTAGTTTTCTCTTGCTTTTATTTATTTCATACCCATCATCAAACAAAATAAGCTTCTCCAAGGATAGTTTTTACCCTAGTGCCCTTTCAATACTTGCATACAGAATATGCTTTTAGTGAGAAATTTGTGCTTTCCGTTTGCTTTCTTGTGTTCAGTTCGGTCACTTAGAATACTGAATAGAAAAGCCTGAAATTGAAGATTTACAATCTCTTGTAAGTAGATAGAAATATGAAATATAGGACATTACAAGACAAGGCACAGGGAAATATTTTGGAGGATATGTGATTTGCAAGTCACGTTGCTGCTTTTTATCTGAAAGTTGATACATTAAAATGTTGTCAGTTATCTTTGATGAGCTCAAGACGTCATAATTTTAAATTGTAGTTGCTGGACTGAGACTTTGCAGGTGTTACATAATGATTGCGGCTATGGTTGTCATGAATCATTTGTAATTCTTAATAAATTTTAGCATGCATGCTTCTTTAATAGTTTCACAATATATATACAATAATAACACTTCTAGTAGCTAAATATCATATAAGCAATACATTACAGCTATCAAAAGAGTGAAAAAGTGTGAAACCATGAACTTGAAATGCAAAAAAATTATATTAGTATTTAGTAAGTAGACTGTTATTGACCCGTTATTTTCACAATAATAGCCTATAATGGCCGTCACAGTTATATAAGGACTTTACATGAGAACATTATGGCCATTTTTCTTGTGAATTGCCATTAACAGCTCTATGACATTGAGTGATGGTAATGGGGCTCTCTGTTTCTGTATGGCTGTTAAATTTACGCAAGATCTGGCAAGGATGCCAGTTATTTTACAGGTGAGGTCTGAAATAATTCTGGATAGATGTTGCTCTGCTCTGTTATTCTTATCTTATTCAAAATAAACATGATCGTTTATATACTAATACCAGGACGCATAATATTTGGTTTGGTAACTTGAGGGTTAAGAAGATGATTTTAAGCTCCTTCTCTTGCAATCTTGTCTTCATTATTTCTTCTGTTGATTCTGCCTTGTGATGCAGATGAGCCATATCATAAGTATGGAGACCAAAGAAGACATGGTAAATTAGCATTACCACTGTACAAATACCAAATCTTTCAAAAGCCTCCGCACCCAAAGATCCCATTAGAAAGATGTTTATTGCTTTTGACAGGGATGGAAGCCATGGAACAAGTGGAATCCCAAACCTTTGACTTTCTCTGTTGATGTAACATCATGGATAATCCAGTAGTCCTCAAGAACCAAAAAGGAACGATTACAGCATATCCAACCTAACCATTGGGATTCAATCCTCTGTAAGCAGAAATTCCCATGGACAAAGCAATAATGATTAGCAGGAAGAAGACCAACTTCAAGAGGTTTATTTGTGGTTTGATTTCTCTGACATAGTATCTTCTCACAAGTAATGCAACAGCCATCATCATGAAGATAAATAGGGTGCTTACTGACAAAAAAATTACCAAGACATCCAGGCTTGAGAAAAAAGCAATGAGAGCACTTGAAATGGTGATAAAAGTTTTGCATTTATTGGTGTTCTTGTCTTTGGTTGGACGAGAGCAAACCATGGAGGGATCATGTGGGCTCGTGCTATATGAGTCGTACACTGCTTGTCCAGGCGCCCCTACCAGGATGGTTGTCATCCCCTTGAGGGCGCCAAGTGCTACCAGGTACTTAGCCCATTTCATTCCTACACTCTGCAATGCAACAGAGTAAGGCACGTCCGGGTCATCTCTTTGTATTTTTGTATCATACTTGGTGAAAGTGCCAGTAAGCAGTATACAACGGTAATGATTGACGTGGATCCAAGTACTCCTAACAGTATGTCTCTTGATGGGTTCCTTGTTTCTTCTGCTATAGTGGCTATATTGTCAAAGCCTCCATAAGCAAAGTAAACAATTGCAGCTGCTTGGAATATCCCTTTGAACCCGTAAGGCAAAAATGGTTTCAGATTGGATGTATTGGCATGAGCAAACCTACAATCTTGACAAATAAAATTACAGCAGTATTGAGTGCCGTTGCTATCCAATTGAACACTGAAGTTTCCCTGGTGCTGGTCATTGCAATTGTTGCAGCAATCACCAAAACTCGAACAGAAATTGGATCCTGGAGATTGAAACCTTCAGCTAGATTTGAATGGATGCGTAAAGAGCTGGAAGGACTGTCCAGAAGACTTGTGAAGTAAGAAGTCCATGCCCTGGCAACTGCTGCACTGTCCAGGATGCTTTCAAGCAATATGTTCCCTTCAGTTATGAAAACCGCATAGTCTCCTAATTCAATTCTCAAGTAAGCAAATGAACCACCTGCGACTGTGATTTCAACTGAAAATTCCGTGTAACAGAATACAGAGCAGTGCTGAGACTTCAGAAGCAAAATAGGACAAGACAATGGCAGCTCCAGCATGTATGCAGGCCGCTTGTCTGGTAAGCACAAAAAATACCATCTCCAACGACAACCAAATCCAAACCAGTTTAAGGTCCCACCAAGTGAGGCAGCGTTTCATCTCAGTCTCACTCTGTTTCTGAAGCTCCGCAATTTCATTGGCATCATCTGAACAGCTGATGAGATTGTCCTTGACTGGAAACATGTCTGACAATGCTGAATGGTAGTTGCCCCAGCTTTGGAAGGACTCTTCTGGGAAGAAATCTTGTTTGCTACATGTCCAATAACTTTTATGTTGAGTCTCACCACCAATTTCTCCCATGGAACCCGCAACTATATTCTCTTGTGTCCTGCGGCCCTTGAGCTTTTATGGAGTAAACCGCAGAGGCGCAGATGATACAAGTTAAACTTTTATGGAGACTGTTATCTTGTAAAGTAGTTTTCTTAATTTTTTTTTAATAATGTTTTTTTTTTCTGAAGTTTATTATTATTATTATTATTATTATTATTAAATGTAACTATTTTGACCGCTTATAAGAAAAATATAATGGTGGAATATACATGATGTAATATAAAAAAATATATATGATATAACAAATAGTTACATTTAATATATATATATACACACACACACACACACACCACTTTAGTTTTTTGATTTTTCGTGCAAAGTGTTTTCCAATCTTTTAGATCAGAAAACACTTTCTTCTATTTAAAACTTATATATATATATATATATATATATATGTTAACTAGAAAGTGAATTTAGTTGACTAATTTTTTACATTATAGCTGATAGTTTTTTCCGCATTGTAGTTAACATGTGAAAGTTAAGACGGTGCTTTTCAAGAAAACACTATTTAACAAAAAAACAAGTTCTAAGTGAACTTTTGGTGAATAGATCCTACCATCAATTAGTGGTCATGGAATCTAAGATTGTGAGATACCTGAGCAGCAGCAGATGACTTGTCTGGTCTAATTTTAGGTGGCTCTTGGTTTTAGGCGTTCATAACTAAGAATTGCTTGAAAACCATATTTGTAATATGAATGGATTCTTGATTTGCTATTAAATGTGAAGATTCTATCTCCATCTCTTCTCAAATCTACATGTATTTATGTGCGTGAAACAACTTTCAAGGAATGCGGGGCCAATAAGTAAGATCTTCATAAAATCAAGTAACGAGTTGCTTTACAGGCATGGAATAAAAAAAAATGATATTTTCCAGCTGAGATGATCCTTTCATCAATTGTGCTGATCATTGCCTGATTACAAATCTTGAACGTAAACCCAAGCTCTGGCTGTTTTTGGCGTTCGCTGGAGAAGCGAGGATCTTGTTGTGCTTGAAATTGCTGATAATCTAGATGTTGACGATTCAATGGTTTGACCAAAATAAGCTTAGTGGATGCCGCCTTCTTTTTTTTAAAAAAAAAACGGGTTACCATAAACTATCCGGTATGAGAAATTCTTTTTTTTAAAAAAAAAATGGGTTACCATAAACTATCCGGTATGAGAAAACGATGAAGAGGTGTGCAAAAATCAACATTCTATGAGAGCCCCGCTCCGTGACTCACCAGGAAGTTGATCGCTACTGCAAGTTCTACTGTTCGAGGATGATTCCTTCTATCAGCTAGTGAATCTTTTTCTTCACGAGAACCGTATCATCCGAAGGCAAATTTTACAAGCTGCTCAATCATTTCAATACTTTGTTTAGATTGAGACAGGCGTAAGTCAGTGTTAGAAATACTGTCATGAACTGGTAGGTTTTCAACCCTGCCCTTGAGGCCAGCTGCTATAAAGACTTCAATTGCGAAGTTCAGACAAGAATAGGAGAACTTCAAAAAAAAAGGGTTCGAACTATCACATGTTCTAAATACTATATGATACATAAGACGATATACAAGTCATTACAAAACTTTCCTCTCCAAGAACAAAGAAATTCAATAACAAGTGTAGCAAGGAAATAATGAAATGCTCCTCTACAAAGTATGAAATAGATCAGCGATATAAAGCTTGTTCTTCCAGCTAAGTATCTATCCTTCATCTCATCTACGTATGGCCATTTTTTTTTAATGGGAAGCCCTACTCGGTATAAAAGTAAAAATGCGTATGCTTTCTACTCATCTGCTGCTTAAGTTAGCGGCAATTTAGGCACCTGGTGTGTTCTGGCACCAGTGGGATTCCTCGTCAAGAAAATATAACTATTGTCCTGGCTGAACTATTTCAGAGTATGCACAAAACTGGGGCGGGGCAAGGAAATGAGGGGGAAGATGTGCTGCATCATGTCCAAGATTTCCAAGCCTTGCACACTTTATTAGCAAGATATCTAGCAGCATTAATACCACCAGCAGCCAGGAAACCAGAGACAGCCTGCCTTGCACTTGAAACCATAACAGTACGCTTGATAATCCTTTGCATACTCCTGGCAGCCTCTTCTCTTGAACCAATCACGACTTCATGTAAAACTTGACCTGCAAATCTTATGTCAACGTTATTAAAACTGGCTAGTCCCCAAGTGGTTAAATGGGGAATTTTATGAGTCACCTAGAAACAATAACTGATGCAAGGTTTGGGCCAAGATATTTAAATCATCTTTTGAGTATGGTAATAATATTATGGAATTTGAGTATCACTCAGTTTATTTATGTTCTTTGAAAAATCCAGAGATGAAGATAAACAATTTGCATCATAGATAAGTAACATTCAGTTTATCAAACACCCATAAAAAAATAAAAAAAAAACCCATCATACCAGAATCCTTCAGCACTTGCATCTCTCCTAGCTTCATCCCCAGTTTTCTTCTGACAAGGGGAGGAAGTGAATGAACTAAGGAATGAGTCATTGATAAACTGCAGTCCTGGTTTTGAGAGAGATTGTATAAGAATTTCTAAGTGGTGCTGAAAGATGACTATGTTAAAGCACATATAAACATGTATCCATAAATATCAGTGCAGCCAACATATAAATGCCTGATTTGAGGACTACAGCTTTTAGCTTACAACAAAGGATCTAGTAAAAGCTTACAAATATCAATTGACAGAGCAGTCAATCCAAACACAAGTCAATGAGAAGTTAATGAGAATCATAACAATACATATGTTAAGGCATCATTTCAGGGAAAGCAGTTTAAATATCTAAAAATGCGCTAGAAGTTACAAAGTGTTACATTACTCAACTGTAAGAAAACGTTGGAAAAATTACCCCTTCCAAAAATGCTGATTATAAATAAAAGCCAATGATAACGAGTGCTGCCACTCATGTGAAATGATAGACAATGATTGAACTTCAAAATCCCAAGAGTGAATTATATGTTAATTCCCCAGTTTAATGTTCCTTATTATGAGCTTTTGGTTCTCAAAAAGAAAAGCCTTTCGGCATTTGTTAGCTGGATACAGTGTAGCCAAAGATGCATAATTATTGATTGAATGCTATTACAGTGTCAGTTCTCAAGAAAAGAGAACTGCAATGGAAGGTACAAAATTTAACAAGTTTTGAATTGAGAATATGAAAATTTGAATAAACCTGAGAGATAGTAGCCTGATGAGAATTAGGCAATGAGAATGTCAGTAACTCTTTAGCCTCGTATTCTTTTAGAAATGGTTTATACATCGATTGGAATAAACCAAACTGTCCTTCAACAATCCTCTTCACCTGCAGGTGGTTGCAACCATGAGCAGCAGAAACTCCAAACAATCATAAGAAATGATCACCATTTGCTAACTTCAGCAGCACAAGTCGTAAATCACAAATATCATAGAAACCACAAGAATTCAAGTCACCAACAATATCTACAAAAGTTAAATCAGTGGAAACACCAATGATTACAGCCAAACAAAGTGATAAAGTAACCAGTAACATTTCATATAGATGAAATATAATAATGATTCATCATCAAAGACAAAAGAATTCTGATGCAATGGAGGCGGAACCTAGACCTCATAAATAATTAACCCATTATTTTGACAGTTCACAGTGAGTTAAATTAAATGATGTAATTGAGGAGCGTAAGTAATGCTTAGTAGATCAAATCAGTTATAAAAAGTAGTTAATAAAATCAGCAATTATCATAAAATTTCAAGTGCACAAATTACAAAGCTTATCAGCACTATCAAAAGCTATAAGCAACTTTACCTTATTTTTATCCTCTGCAAAAAGCATGCGCAAGTCACCCATATATGAGAGGCTACATATTTTGGAGTACAAATCTTCCTGCATAAGCATGGAATATGTTGGGGATTCTATTAGCTCTATAATGGTTCACCAGTAAAGGAACAAACCTCGGTGAATTTGGATGGCAAAAGGAGAAGAGCAGCAGAGACTGCAGCCCTCAGATTCACAGAGTTTACATCTGCAATATCCAAATTATCCACGAGTATATGAACCTGTAAAAAAGAACTCAAAGAAACGTTGACATTTGTGAATGGAAAAACATAATTAAGGCAAGGAATACAGAGGAAGTATGAGATCTAATGCAGGCAAGGCTAACAAGAAAAGACATAAAACAAGGTACACAGCTAAACATCGATTCTTATTGTTTTGATCAGAAGCAGACAACTTGAAAAGAGGATGTTAAAATGTATCTAGTCTATAAGGCAGTGAAAAAATTAAAATTTCAGACATAGATATATTACTGGTCATGGAAGAATATCACAATTTGGTTTAACCAGAATAACATATCATGGATCAGTTGCAAGTAGCACCAATTTGGGACTGTGCACAAATCAAAATACCTAACCCAATTCAATAAAGCCCAAGTCCCAGACTAGCTATGGCTGGCTATATAAATCCCTTTTCTTCATTCATTATAATCTATATCATGAAATGGAAAGAGCTGATTTTACACTACCGTCAGCCAACTACAATCCTCCAGTTTTCCTGATAGCCAGAGGCAAGAAATGAGAAAATTTGAGAGTAAAAAATATGCCAGCTCTAAGAATAACTTTGAGGCAAGGATTTAATTGGGCATGAAAAAGAGTAAGCATACCACTTAACAATTCTTAGGAAGAATTTAAAACTTAGTAAAAGAGTTGAAGATTTCTAAGCAGAAATATTTCAAGTAGTAAACATTATGCATGTCAAACACACAAAAGGGACTTTGTCATGAAAAAAAGTTGTAAATCAGCTCGTTGAAAGGATCTCAATAGTTTCAATGATCAAATGAACTAAGCCTGAGCTTGGTTTTAGGCCTTGAATTCTTATGGAGCATGGATTGAAACATGTAGAGTTTAGTTCATGACTTTAGAGCTTCAGAGCCTATATGCACTCTAGTATTCTAAGGTGTCATTTGAATATTCTTTTAAATAAGTGCTAAATAAACATGGAATATGCTCTTTCTATATCTAGCCAGTCCTTTAATGCAAATAGTTAATAATTTCTTCACAAGGGTATTCTTATCAACATTTAAAACATTATCATACAAGTTGTTTTAGGTAGACTTTGCTCTTTTGGAAGAAGCATCATTCTTCCTGCTATTTTCAGATGGAGACTGCAAGGATAACATGAATATAACACAAGAAAATATAACATTGGAATTGAAATGAAAAATTCACTCATTTAGCCTATTCTACAAATATAAAAAATTGAACCTAACTTCAACAGATTTTGGTTTTCTAACTCAATTCATTTCTGTTCTGTTCCAGACAGCAATATGAATCTGAATTAAATTCTATCTCAGTTCTTGTCTATTTTACAATGAAAAAAGTTCAATGCAACCTATCCAATAAGATTCAGAAAAAAAACTCAGCAAACAACAAGAATATCCACAAAACAGACTAGAGAAGATAAGTATAAAATAACAGACAAGACGCACTGGTTTTTGTAGACGACCACACAAATAGAATCTCTCCCAATGCAGTAGATCTTGAACCAAGTCATGCATCCTAACAACACCGTATTTGAGCATCTGAAATGAATTCATCAAACATTTTACAAGTTACTAGATAATACTGGAATAAGGATAATGTGACATGATCTAAAATGCCATGCCAAGGGAAGACAAGCTGAATATATAGTATCGTGTAAGACCTGAATCCCTTTTCTAATTCACAGTATGCTTAGCAAATACCTTGTCATTCCATGTTACAAATGGATTAAAGTGCACTCCTACACCAATCTTATCTGCAACTTGAGTAATCTGAAATAATAAATAAGTTATAGTCTCAGGATTAAGGCAGTTAAAAAAAGATGGAGAGGGAGAGGGAGAGACACCAGTTTTGCACCGCCAAGGGGCACCATCCAGGAGGCATAGTGATCTCCATTCAATTCCATATTCTTGGAAGTGTGATGACCAAAAATAGAATGAGATATACAAAAATATCAGAACTTGAAAAGGAGAGACATCACTCTATATGTTTCTAAATAGTATAAATTTACCTCAGAATGCCATTGCTTGGGATCTGATACGCCAATAATATAATCTACCATGGATGACTACAAAACCAATAGTCACTAAGAAACAAGACCATAGATTTTAAAAATTTAAAGAAAGATGAAGCATAAAGAAACAAATCAATAGAATTGGAAAAATGAAAACTAAAACCTTGTCGTTATTATTTGGATGGAGAGACGAGCCATAGACGCAACAAAATCCAACTGGGGGAAGAACCTTGAGAAAACTCTTCAGCTCGGCAATTTTGTCAATCTCCATAATGATTCTAGCATTAGCTGAACAAGTTTACAATAAGTACAAAATTGAAGGGGCAAGCTTCAACATTTTCAAGACGGCAAGTTGCAACACTGGATTAACGCAATTGAAAGACATGAAAAAAATAAATAAATGCCAGAACTAGAGATAACTCTAATCAAGCAATGTCAAACACATTGAATCATTCTGAAAGTGGACTTAAAAATAAGCTTTCTTGAAATGGCCCATAAACCCATAAAGTCTATCTATCAAACCAAGGCTGCTCATGCCCTCCATCGAAGGCATTTACGTACATCATTTATACAACTTTACGAATTGTGATTTTTGTGAGGCATTTTATCAAACATTTGATAGGCATGCAGAAGAAGCTCGACGTTGGAAAAGCGTTATTGTAAATGGCTTTTTATTACATGTGACTGTATTACATGTGACTGTAAAAAGGAAAGAATAGAGATATACAGAATATGGAGTACGAAAGTAACACTACCTGTCTTCACTTACCCGTTTTTCGGGAGGTTGCGGGGAGGTTGTTTCTTGGTGATTAAAAAACAGGTGATGTTGCTATAGAGGCCAGGTTTTTTAATTACAATTCGTGTTTAATTTTTATTAACATAAGTTTACGGAGAGGTTTATTTGTGTGAGTTTTAATTAATTTTATAAATTTTAAAGTTAATATTTATATAAATTTTTAATAATTTTAAGGTTTATAAAACTAATAATTTTTAGAAATCAAATATAAAACCTGACCAGATAAATTATATTTTTATGAATTTAAATAATATGTTTATTTTTGTGATTTGAGAGTATTTTTATAATAATAAATTATTATTTCAATATATTTAAAAAAACACACTAAAGCATCCTCATAATGAAATTAAAATAACCAATCTGGCCAAAAGAATTAGACCAAATTTTATTACATGGACTTGAAGATCCAGCCGAGACTTGGAATAAAATTATTAATTTTTTAATTCTCACAACTTAAACTCATCTTTTTTAATGAAATAATTGATAGATTATATTCAATATTTATAAAAGATCTTTTTTTTTTTGGACTCTTTAGTGATTAATTAATATTATAAGTGGAAAAAACAATTTTTTTTAAAAAAAATAAAAGCCATAGAAATAGATATATGCAATTTACAATAAGAAAAATTATAATTTGAGGTTTATATTAGTTGTTTTTATAATTCTTTAAGTTTTTTTTATTAAAAAAAATTTATATTTTAGTTAAATATTTATATTTTATAAAATTAAAATATTTTTTATTGTACATCTGGTAATTTATCAAATTTATATAAAATTAGATTTAACATTTAATTAAGTTTGAGAATAATAAGTTTAGAAATTTGTAAGATACATATAAATCTGTGTTTAATACTTTACTAAACTTAAAAATAATAAATTTAATAATTTATTAGATTTATATATATTTAGGTTCGGTATCTAAACGAGTTTAAAAATAATGGGTATAGTAATTCTCTATATCTATATAAATCCGGGCTCAGATGACGATGAATCTAATAATTTACTTGACCCCATCTAATAATTTACTTGACGAGACTTATTAATATTTGACTAAATCTAGAGGGGGGGAGAGAGAGAGAGAGAGAGATCACTAGCCAACCCCCATTCAATACCAGCATACATGATGCACCCTGCTTAGCAATGTACATGACCCATTTTGACATGCTTCCTCAATAATTCTTTTATTTAAACATTGTATAATCAAGATCATGCATTGAAAAGACAAGATTTCTCTGTTCTTTTCCCTATCAAAAGAAGGCGCAAAAAAGAAGAAGAGATAGATAGGTGTACAGACATGCAAACTAAGAGCAAAAACATTAAAAGAGAGAACCCATTCTGAACATACCCCGAAGCTGAAACGTAAAGGAAGCTGAGTTTTGCTTCTTGGAAATCAAACCAGCACTGTTTTGTTTTATTTATTTATTTATTTGAACTTCAAGTTATACTGTGATTTTGAGCTTCAACTGGACCTCTTGCTTATGCAAGAAACAAACGAGTCTTGGTTTCCCATTTTTACATTTCGCCAAATCTCTTTTGCTCAGGTCTTTTTACTTGTAATTTGACACATTGATTGATGTTCCTAAATTGCTAGGATTCTCATTTATGGCCTTTTCTTTTCTTTTGAGAATAAAAATTAGCCATAGAGAATGGGAGGGAATCAAATTTATTTCAACGTTTCGGTTAGTTAAAAAAAAAAATTAATGAATTACAAATCAGATTATAAAATTTACTTCATTTACATGATTCATTATATTACGATTATGTTGTTAGACTTTAAATTTAATATTCTTGTAATTTAAGCTAACATAAGTTATTTAAATCTTTACTTTAAAATATTAATTACAATGAATTTAATTTGTATGTTATAGTGTTAGAAAATGATTTGAAATAAAATTGGTTGAAAAAATGGTTTTGATATGGTATTTATATATTGTATAAAACCATTCATAATGAATTTGAAGTTTATTGATCATTGTTACTAATTTATTCTATAACTTGAATAAATTGTCAAGAATTAATTCTTGAAGTAATTTTATTTCATTTAATCTTCTCAAACTCATTATTTTTGTGTTAGAGAATAATATAAATTATATATTAGGATCTCACTTAATAATTTAAATTTATGAGTTGAGATGGTTATTTGATATAATATCAGAGTCTTAATGACCAAACAGTCACGGTCTTAATAACCAAACAGTCACGAGTTCGAATCTCACCATCCCTATTTATTTGATAAAAAAAATCAAGCATAAGGTAATGTAGATCTGTGCAAATTTTAACTTTTATTTGAGAAAATGTATTGAAAAATAATATAAATTATATAAAATCAAGCACAAAGTAATGTAGATCTGTGCAAATTTCAACTTTTGTTTGAGAGGGTATGTTAGAAAATAATATAAATTATATTTTAAGACCTCACATAATAATTTCAGTTTTTTGGTTGAGATAGTTTTTTGATATTTTATAATTTAATAAGTTATGAATAATTAATTCTTATTAATCTTGAATTAATTTTGTTTCATTAAACTTCAAATATAATGAATTACCAGTAATTAATTATATTTAAAAATAAAAAGCGAAGGAGCTTCATTCTTAGAAGTTGGATAGAAGTTTAGAAGAAGAAGAGGAAAAATTACGGGGCTCTCACTCTTTTGTTTGCCCTTGTGCTCTCTATCCTCCCGTTTTAGGTTCCATTATTATAGAGGAAATATTTAAGTAAGTTTTATAGTTCATAAACCTAAATGCATTCTTTATATGTATTATTATTGAAATCTTGTTGCACTGATATCATTTGCGCATACTGATAGAGTACAAGTTAGCTTTAATAGTAAAATGTAAAATCCGCAACAACTTTCTTTTCTATCTTGGTTTTGATCTAAAATCTATAATTCTACAAATAAGAATTGATGCAACTAGAACGAAAAATAACAAGGTTTAATATAAGTCAAAGTCAGGGTAGAAGATCTTTGCGGGTTTAGGCTAGCTCTTAATTAAAAAGTATTTATTTTTTAAAAACTTCCTATAATAGTCTTCGGAGGTTGGATGAAACTCGTACTCAAATTCAAGTCTTTATCAATCAAAAACTGTAATCTACTATGAAAACACCTATCATAACATAACATTCTTTGAGAAAAAAAAATTTATTGAAAAACTCAGTGATTTTTTTATCTATGAGCTACCTCGTCATGAGCACTTAACATTTTTATGGAGCTTGTCTTATCATGAGTTTCGAATACCTTTCTTTTCAATGATAACATAAAACAATTAATCACTAAAAATTATTAAACACAACTCCATACCAATTGAAATATTATGAAGGGAGAGATAATAAAATTTATTATAAATTAAAACTTTTAAAAATTAAGAATCACATAACTATAAAAAAAAACACTTGAAATATTTAATTTTTATTCATTAAAATCTCATAAAAAACTAGTATAATAACCCTTATAGAGAAAAAAACTAGAAAACCTTACTAATATTTAATATAAAAACATAAAAATTATTCTTCTCAAATAATAAAATTAGAAAAATCTATAATATTAAAAGTATATTTGAGAGTGTGGTTGTATTACTTTTCACTCAGAAATATATTAAAATATTTTTTATTTTAAAAAATTATTTTTGATATTAGTATATTAAAATGATTCAAAATCATTAAAAAATATTAATTTAAAATAAAAAATATATTTAAAATTTTTTAAAAATACATATTAGACTATGTTCCCAAAGATCCCTCAATAAAAAACAAAAAATCTAAACTAAAAAATAAGAAATAAAAATACTAAAAGAAATATTTGTTTTTCTAAAAAAACCCCTCCATCAAATACTGATCTATACTTATCTTTTGTTTAATATATTAATTATGAAATACATTTTATTGATTTCACTAAACAATTTGCTAACAAAATTGATCTTATAAAATAATACTACAAAAAATACAGTGTTTAATGTTGAATCCTCGAGAATTACGACAGAGAAATGTGAAAGCTCGTTCCCATATAATTATTTAAATGCATCGTGACGAGTATTCGATAAGAAAATAGACTCCAACAACTTTATTTAATTAACAGTGTCACCCGAGGGTAGAAATGAACAAAAAGCTAGGATGACAACCACCAAGGTGTCTAAAACTGTAAATACATGAAAAACCGAGGATCTACATATAACAGAATGTGTCACAGAAAACCACGGACGGGTGTCCGTTGTATTGCCAAGTGAAGTCCTACCGAATTTGACCTTTTGTTTTCTCTCGGATTTGGATTTGGATTATAAATAGCTTGGAATCTACTGGTTGTTGTATTTTTTTTAAATATTAATATATCAAAATCATACAAACTTATAAAAAAATTAATTTAAAATAAAAAATTTAAATATTTTTAAAATACAAAACCAAACTCATTCTTAACACTTAACAATAAAATATAACCAACTATAAAAAAAATAAAAAATAACTGACCATAGGTTGTAATTGATTTACACAACTAATTAAACAAATGAGGTGAGATCCACTATAAATTCTTTTACAAATCTAATCAATTAAACCATTATGCAGTCAATGCTTACAAAAAATTTAATTTAAAATATTTTTTATTTAAATATATATTAAAATAATATATTTTTATTTTTATAACATTATTTTTTATACCGACACATCCAAAAAAATTTTAAAAAATATGCAAGAAACACTTTGAGCACCCTTCAATCTGTTCATCATCCCAGATTCTATCCTGCTTCTCATCACCACCATATAGGATGATACCTCATCCCCTCTTTTGACAATCTCTTAAATCTCAGAAAGGGCTTTTCCATGAAGCTTACTTATAATTTCTACCAAATCTCCAAATCCACAACAGAATTATATGGGGATCTCTCTGTATTAGTTCTTCCAACGCCAAAGCTTGAACCCTTTTTACTGCACTAGATCTCCTCTCTCTCTCTCTCTCTCTCTCTCTATATATATATATATATATATATATATATATATATCACAAGTATATATGCTACTCAGGGCAGCTTTTTTATTAAAACAAACGACACACAACTGATCAAAATCCCAATTTATAGATACCAGTCAAACTCCCAAACTGTCAGTGCAAAAGCAATTTAAAGATAACAATAATCCCAATTTAAAGATACCAATCAAACTCCCAAACTGTCAGTGCAAAAGCAATTTAAAGATAACAACCTAGTCATATATGTATGGTTGACATAGTAAATGTTTATTTAATCCAATCAAGAGCAGCCATTTTGATTCATATCAGCCACTTCATTCTCCTCTGACCAGTCAACATGATCTCTGATAAATCTCCAGCAAGGCTGCAATTATCAGATGGTTAAACTGTATTAGTGCATTGACTTTTCCTTGAAGCAAAAATTATAGATCATTGTTTTTCTTTTGAGGCATGATAATACAGACTTCAGTAAGACCAAATCTAAACTAAATCTATTAGCCCTCACAATCAAAAAGATAAAAAGTACAGGGAGATTCAGAAAAATAAATCAAGCAAACCAATTAATTTATTTTCATAATTTAATTCTTGATTTATGGTAAATTTATCATTCTTAGCCTCACAACTAAATATTCGAAGTTGTCAATTCCATTCTAGTTGGTATTCTATTTTTTTAATTGGAACAATACATTCCAGTTTTAAAGCAGTTTAACATATTATTTTGAAGCTGTATTGTTCATATATATATATGTTAATTCAACATTTATATTTTCAATTCAAATCCAAAAATAAATTAACTTGAAATTATATAATTTTAATTTCAAATATAATATTAAATATTAAGTAACTAAACATATTTTAGTCTCCTTTTTTTTATATCTATCGTTAATTTGAGAGGTGGATCTAGTTTTAGAAAGCTAAAGCTAGATCGATATACATCAAGATGAATGGAGGAAGGTGAAAAAATGAGAGGAAGAAGAAAGAAGAGTAAGAGGTTGTAGATGAAGTCACCAAAATATCATTTCATTCTTCTGCCACTAACCTATATTGCATGCATGTATAAGAAAAAAAAGCAAATAATAATTTTACTACCCTTAACTCCACATTATAATTAATTAATACTCCTAACAACATTTAATTAAATTAAGAAAGAGTGATAAAAATGTTGTTAAAAGTTATTCCATATCTTATTATTCAAGAAAACATTAAATAGGTTTATATATGTACCTTAAATTTTGGCCTCATCCAGTTCATGGTCATTTTCCTTGTTCACCTCATCACGTGCATTGCTTTCATTCTCTAGCACAGCATTTCTTTCCCGCAGCAGTGCATTGCTTGCTTCAAGTTCCATCTGCAAAAAAAATGTTTAAATAGTGTAAATATGAGTTCAACAAGCCTTCAAATGGGAAACTGTCTTCGGCTTTTGCAAGTGGACTGAGACAATAAACTGTGCAATGCTTGCTTCAAGCTCCGTATTTCTTTCTTGAAGCTGAGCATAGGACTCCATCTGCAAAAAAAGTAAAAAATAAATATTTAAATAGTGTAAATATGCGTTCAACAAGCCTTCAAATGGGCAAATGTCTTTGGCTTTTGCAAGTGGACTGAGACAATAAACCCAAGTTGTTGTTCTGGAGCAAATAACATGACCAAACATAAAAGGGAAAAAAGAAAAATTAAAGAAAACACAATAGAAAAGAGAGTGAGAAGATCTAAATCCGTTGATAGAATACAATTGCTTGCAATAAGGATGCTATGTACTTTAATATAATTGGCGTATGGTACATATATAGGAAGGGAAAAATTCTCCTCGATCGCATGGTAGATTTGATCAATCATAGATACCCCAGCTGTTTGTTGTGATATGGTAGAAATTTAGACTAGACAAATTGATAAATTGATGTTAGTTAAGGGTTGCATTCTGGTGATTTGATGAAGAGAAGAAAATACTTACCAGTAGATTGGAAAGGCCGGTGGTCTTCTCAGTCAGTTCATTGCACTTGTCCTTCAAGTAGACCAAGTTTTTCTTCTGACGCTTCTGAGATTTTGTCATCCAAGCTTTTCGGTTCTTCAGGTAGACATTTTCCTTCACGAAGGAGGTGTTTGCATTCTGCACAATGATTGCGGAAAATGATCAATTACGTATCAATACAGGGAGGCACAAAATATTTAAATCATCACCTTGTATTTTGCAATATGCTTGTTCATGCCAGCCATTCTTTTCCTCACGTTTTTTATCAGAGCAGCATTCAAGGATGTGTTCTCGTTAATGACAGCACCTGCATGCAGATTCCAAGGTGAGCTGTGTTCAGAGTCAAGAAGAATAAATAAAATTAAAAGATCGAGTCTAGTACAATCACTCGGCCTTGTGACCCAAAAAGTCGAACAAAAGTGATTGGACTCTTTTCTACCCAGATAGTGGATTTGTGTATAGATCCAAGGTGGATTTGTGTAGTTAGTTGTTCTTGCAAGTTTGCTGAAGAAAAATGTAAACCCTAAGTGGAAACCCTAAAAAAGGTAATAATTGACAATATTGAGTGCTAGAAAATCATAACTAATATCTGGCAGCTAGCCTTGAGATCAGTGAGAGAGAGAGATTTATCCTGAAAAATACATGCACAAAAACAAAAACAAAAGTGCTGGCCGTAGAGGTTGATCTAATGATCAGACCAGTCGCATAAATTATTCCTGGTAAGAACTTAAAATTAATAAAGTGCTTAATCAATGAAAGCACCAATCTTTTCCCTCCCTTTATTTTATTTCTCGTATGAGAAGAATAAGAAAAGAAAAGAAAAAAGCTTACCCTTAGCATCAGAGAAATTTGAGTAAGGCATCAGATGCGTGTTGATGTGATCTGAAGAAGATCGATAACAAAGGTAAAGATCAACTTATAAAACGGTAAAAGTAGGAACGGAGCTTGATGATCAAGCAGGTGAGAGCACCAGAATTATTGTGTTTGTTTTCATATACACTACCTGAGCAGCTGATGGGTCGGTCGGTCCCGGAAACCGGCGGTTTTCTGAGGACGAAATAACTGGCCGGTGTTCTAACCTGAGAGTACAGAAAAAATAGCCAGCATAGGCCAAGTAAAGAACAGGTATAAAATAAAAAATTTATAGGCCGGACTTATCGCAAGAAACCAGAAGACGACGAAAGAAAACTCGGGGAACCGCTCGACACCGCACCATTAGCGTCTAATACATGTCGTGAAGGTAGTAAATTTTTTCTTACTATTTACTAATGGGTGTTTCTTAGTTTACTGATGCTCAACATTCATTAAAGAAGGAGGAGCCGTCATTGCTGACTAAGAACATGTAAAAATAATCAGAGAAGGAGGGCAAAAAATAGGTGCTTTTAACCTCAATAATGAGGGCATGGTACTCGTCGTTGGTCCTATGTTGGTTCTGTAATCTTCAATAATGCCATTACCATCTTTGTTTCAATCCAACATGCTTTAAGATAATGGGAATGTTACTTTTACTACCGGCCTCCGAACCCATGGCGTGGCTGTGATAACATGGAGGACATAAGTGAGGCCAGCTCACTGGGGATATTCTAGACATTAAAGGGACATTCCTATGATTTGAAGGGGGGACTCAAAGAATTGGAAGATCCACCCCCGCAATTAAAAAGCAGGTGACTGGGATTGATGTGGGTTCAAGGGAGGCTAAGCCCGACAGAATCGTCCACCTAAGTATTAAATGTGACTAAGCTTAAGAAACTTGTTTCCATCATTAGCGTTTGAAAAACGTCAAATTTCAAGGAAAAAAAAATCTGAAAAATTAATGACTTATAACCTCAATGGTTAATTAAAATTAGAAACTACTATCCCAAAGTTTAAGGAGAGAAATTGTAATCAACCTGAGAAAAAAAATAACTTCTTCATCCGTATAAAAAAGATGAAGTAGAAGTTGATAAATGGTTAAAAAACAAATAGATATCGAGACTAAAATGATACCAGCAAACAATTTACTTTTAAAAAAAGCCTCCAAACTAAAGGGAGGACAAATTTTAGCTTACCCACTTGATTTTGCTTCTCATCCCAGCTGACGTTTCTCTCCCCCTCAGCAATTCCATCTCTGAGTTCTTGAGTTCACGAAACTTCTAGCTATGTGGATCATGCAGTACCACATCATGCTTCCTCTTGGTTTTTTGATGTGCACACCTTTCCTTGCTTTGCCTTCCTGCGCTTTGTCGAAGCTAGAGTAATTAATAGATAAAGTTAAAAGATAAAAAAAATGAGATCTGTAATTTAACTATGGGCAGGAAATGTGCTGCTTACAGATATGTTCAGAGGCTTCCTGGATGAACTACCATCCGGTTTGCGGACTCAACGTTAATCAAGACATAGTACAGTTAGTTTGTGGTGTTGTTTGAAGTGGAAGAAAAGCACGTTAGAAATGTAGCAGTAGCAGGGCGTAGTACTGATATGACATGATATCCATGAGAACAGCTCACTTATTAGGAATTTCGCTTCGAGCTTCCATATTTTTAAACTCCCGGGAGAGGCACGGGAATCCAAGAGGACGGGGCAGCTATAAGAAATTGAAGATTTTTTAGTTTCTAAAAAAAAAAATTAATATTTTAAATTATCATGTTAAAAATAAATTTAAAAAATAAAAAATATTATTTTAATAAATTTATATTCAAACACCACTATAATATATATAATAATTTACTGTCCAATCCGAAAAAATTGTGATTAAAGAATCATTGACAAAGACGTGATATAATAAGACAAATAGTTTTGTGTGGGCATGCATCGGCCAGGACTTGGATTAGAAAATTGCATTGCTTGGTAAGAGTGATTTGGTTCCGAGCTAAAAGGTATTTTTAAAAAAATATTTTTTATTTAAAAAATAATTGTTTTTTATTTAAAAATTTGATTATTTTTTTAAAAAAATTCACTTAGCATATATTGATATTTTATTTTTTTAGAATTAAAAACAAATTTAGGGAGTTTATATAAAAAATAAAAAATGTAGAATTAAAGAAGACAACTTAAGTTTAATTATTAAAGTTAGTTAACATGATGACAAATTCCATTATTTCTACTATATCTTTATAATGTTTATCATTCATGTTTTTTTATGTATATGATCAAAAGAAAAGGTATGATATTTTTATTATGATCATTGTAGTTCTGACAAATTAAAAATTTTACATAAAAAAATACAGTGACCAGTCATTTTCAAATGTTTGAAGAACATATATTTGATAAATAGCAAGAAAGTCATTGGAGATTATTCATTCTAATATTTATATTTATAGTAAAGATAAAAAATATATATAATTACTTTTATTGAATATTATAATTAAAAAAAATTGTTTTTTTAGGATTTGGTAACCACCTCAAAATATGATAATAATTATTTTTAAAATGTTTTTAATTCATAAATACATCAAAATAAAAAAATTTAAATTTTTAAATTTTTTTTAATATCATTATATTAAAACAATCTAGAAACACATAAAAAATTAATTTAAAATTAATTCTTTTTAATTTTTTTAAAAAACACTTTTAAAATATAAAAATAAATAGATTCGAAACTTACAGCACATAAGCAATTAAGCATTACATCAGGATGACATAATGAGTGTTTAAGAGCGTGACAACGATTATTTTTTAATTTTTTTTACTTATAAATATATCAAAATAATATTTTTTTTATTTTTTAAAAAATTAATGTTAATATCAACTCATTAAAATAATATAAAAAAACCAAAATAAAATTAATTTGAAATAAAAAAATTAAAACTTTTTAAAAATACTTTTAAAATATAAAAATAAACAGTAATAGTCATTATATACAGTAGAAATTCTTACATTTGCCATAAATCGCCAATATCATCTTGAGAGAATAAAAAGAAAAAGAAAAAAAAGGGCAACGATTAGATCGTTGTTGTTCCGAGTATCACTAAGCACTCCTCCACAACTATCACAAGCGACGTAAACCGTCATCTCTAAAAATTTTATGTTGAGTTATCTGAAATTGCTACTTGATTGCAACTTAAATTTTAATCATGGAATCCTCAATTGTACATATATATACATAATGATTTGTTTTCAAGCATCAATCGTGCCTTTTTCTGCTTCTCCTTCTTTCTCTTCCAGCACAATATTACAAATATAATTGATATTTTATTTTTCAATTTATATTTTATTAACCTGTACTAAGAATGGTAAAAACATCATTAAAGTGTAGAAATCCACGTTACAATGAATTATGATCCATAATATTTTACTATATCTATTAATGTTTTTGATAAGCGAGCAATCATTAATGGAGATACATATGTTTAATATTTTTTTAAAAAAACAAATCATTGACGGAGACTTTACCGTGGAATTAGTTTTATATGACGGGTCCACCATGGTGAACTGTTAAGCACTTATGTTTCCAAGAACTCGGCAATTTGTCGACATAAACACTAATTATATATTTCTTAATTTTGCTTTCGCACAGGCTAAATAATTACAATTTGGAAGCTATTTATTTTCAGGTCCATAAGAATCAGTGGAAAAATCAAGCTCCAGGTAATTAAAAAATAGTTCTCTTGTGGTTTATTGAGATTGGGATTCATTCATGTTCCTTATAATATGATATATTACGTGTCATTAATTATGATACTTGAAACTAAATGGATATGAATTATTTATTACTCATAATCCAACACTAAAACTTTGTTATCTTACTTCTTATATGCCTTTTAAATTTATTACAAGAAATATTTTAAAAAAAAAGAAACTAAGAGAGCAAAAATAATAATGAAAAAAGGGGTAGAGACTCTAGAGAGGCTAAAAAATACATAAAAAAAGGTCAATAAGTAAATAATTATGATTTGAAGTGTTTTTTATTTGAAAATATATTAAAATAATATTTTTATTTTAAAAAAAATTATTTTTAATATCAGCATATTAAAATAATATAAAAATAAACAAAATAAAATTTCAAATTAAAAAAACATGTTTTACCGTGTTCTAAAAAACTGACTTAGTAAAAAATAAATAGAGGTTAGAGAATGACCGTATATTTTGAAACAAATTCAGAGCAATTAGTCTCAGGGATATTCTGAAAGCTAGGCTTAAAATATAGAATCAAATCGAGTTAATTTCCCGATATTTTACGAATATGAATATATTTTTCTCTGTTAAACTTATACTATATGAATTCCGCAAAGAATTCTAACATGCCATGGATAACAAAATAGTTCTTGTAACAAACGACACACAGCACTTACGGAACACCAAAATGAAACAGCATCACAAACACCTGACTTGTCCATAACATAAACTGCGAAGTTGAGGGGCTATCTGTCTGTGCATGACAATCATAACTTATTACACATATATGTTCGATATATAAATTGATAAAGAAGAGGACAGAAGCAGCCTGCGCAGGACGCCAAATCAACCACTCCCTGATCGACAGTGAACATACTTTGTTGAAGTCCCTGCAAATATCAAATGAAAAACCTTCATTATTGATGCGTTTTACTTAATTTGAAGCCAAAAGGTTTCCTTTCCTTTGTTTTTAAATCTTTCTTAGGGCAACATTGGAGAAAGTTGCCAATTACTATTAGTATCTATTTTCTCCTTAAGAGATCTCAAGTTCAATTTTTCTTTTTTCTCTTTTTGTAAAAACGTAAAAATGAATGTAATCGATGGCCACATTGCTAATAATATTCCTACCAGTGATACCTCAGGAACCTAAAACTGCTAGCAATAACTGAGAATATGATGTTGCCTCACTCAATAATTTAAACCTTCGATTGAGTGATTCTTTGAGATAGCCAAGTTAATTAGAAAATGAGATGGGCTAACTCTCCCTCTTACCTCCACTTCGCAAGTTGTTGTTTCTTTTTTTTCCCTTGTGTCAGAAGAAGTGTTGGATTCTCTTAAATTTAAACAACAGTAACAATGGTACCTTGTCATGAAGGGGTGCTCCACGCCCCTTCATTAATGTTCGTCATTATTCATCTTGTCACACAAAGCATCGTTTATAATCTGGAGTCTCTTGGCTTTAAGTTTCCACTTTTCAATCTCTTCGAAAAGCTCGACTGTTTTCGTGATGTCTGGATTTTTCAATGAATTCATTAGCTGCTCATTTTTGCGCTTCAGCTGTTTGTTTTCTTCCACAAGATCAGTAGTTTCAGAGCTAGCAACCTGTAACACAGTTAGAATAAATTCATCATATAAAGAGAATCGTTAAAAAATCCATGTTAACCAAAAAAACAACTGGGATGTTTTGAAACTTACATATGTCCACAATAATACTATTAATTAAAAGAAAAAATAAAAATAATAAGTTTTGAACTTATAATTATTTGATATTAAAAATTTAGTATCATGATAAATAATCATTTTAAGTAGTACAGATGATATGATTTATATTATTATGGGAATTAATTTAACTAGCTGCTAAATTAGTTACAAAATTCCCAATAGTATCTTAATTGCATCCTTTTCTTTTCTTTTCCCTTAACTGCTTTCACAGTATTGGATGGGTTCCAACAGTGAAAAGTCTTAGGACAATGCAGGGCCTGTTTAACGCCAAAGAGATGGTTTAGTGAGATGGAGTGATGGACAAGAATGGCCTTGCAAATCTTGGACTAATTGTCTGTTTTGTGATTTCCTTTCAAGATTTGTGTATTTTGCCGTATTGCTCCTTTGTTGAAAGTATTCGTCAAATAAAATAGTTTGATTCAGTTAGATGATTGCAACGATTAGCAGATTAAGAGAAAAGAGCATACTTACTAGTTTCTCAGACAGCACGTCCACCTTTGTGTTTTGGCCTTTAAGCTTGTTATTCAAGCGGCTAACTTCTTTCTCCAAGTGGCTAACTTTCTGTACGAAAGTCGTCAGTTTTCTTTTCATCTGAGCTTCTCCCTCTTTTAAGCTGGCATTGTCTTTCCTTAACTCGTTGTTCTCTTCGGTAACCTTAACCAACCTTTCCTCGTTTTCTCTTCTCATTTGCTGTGCGGTATACAGAACAAGAGGGTACAAACTAATTATAATGGACACTAACGATACAAAAGTATGGGTCGAGAGAAAATTAATGTTATATCACCTCCTTTTTTGCCCGAGATTTCCTGTCACTCTCTTGTTTCCTTAATCTTTTCTCAAGATCAGCATTGCTTATGTTTGAAGACTGAGAACTTCCTGGTTTATCCAACGGGGAAAGGTTCATCTGAGCACTCATGGAGGGATTCACCGTGTAAATAGCACCTGCAGTTCCCAACATGTGGAAGTGTTTGGTTGTGCCGCGTTCCAAATTTAGAAGAACAAAGTCTTGGTAGGAGTTGTTAGTCTTAACTTGCATTGAAACGTAAATATTAGCTACAAGGGAGTAAAACCAAAATATCTTACATCTCATCCAAAAACTCATAACTTTTTACCTGAGTTTATAGCTTAACTTACATTTATGTTTCCTTCCTCCCTTGCTAAGATTTTTCCAACAGCTTTTAGCTAGGTATAAATTTTATTAAACAAATGAAAAATGCATGGCTATATATCATATACAAGAACTGCCATAATGCAACAGACTCATAGCCAAGATTTTAAACTTAATGTCCTTAGGATTTTCATAAAATAGTACTAAAAGACAATTTTATCAAGGGTAGCCGAAGCCTATGTGATTATGAGCTCGCTCATTTTTCAAATAACAAGAGCAGTCCAAGTTTAATTATACCTTCTGGTTGATGCAACCAAGGAGAGAGTGGAACATTCACCGATCCATGTTTCATTGCATCACCAGGAGCTGCTCCAAATTGAAATGGGTATGCTAGAGGTGGATTTAAAAGCTTAATTAGAAAAACAAAATCCTTAAAAGACATTTATATTTTTCTTAAAGAAACATAAAATCAACAAGAAAAAGACTAGCTATATAATAAAAGCTTCTAGTGCTTAGCCCATGATGATACGTTTGTGCATGTTTCATACGATGAGAGATCAGAATTCCTACCATTGGGTCGAGCTGTCTGGTTATGGTTTATTTGAGTGTTCACCGATTGGAAGTACTCATGATTGACCAGAGCTGGCAGTGGAAACATATTTGCTCCATGTTCTGCATTCAAGATTTTGAAACTCAAATCCGAAAGAGATATCTAAAGTTTGCTCGAAGAAAAATATATGTTAGCAAAACACTAGCAGCTAAAGTTTCCGGCTAGCCAGCCTATCGTGATAAAGAATTAGCAGCTTGCACAGAAACCATGTGAGCCCAAAAGCTTAAATTTATGAGTGAAACCTTAGAACGGTTTTGTATTAATTATAACATACTAAAATCCAAAAACACACACACCTCCTGGTTGAGCCGAATATGGGTCCACGGCCATTTGATCATTCGCCAATCTGTTGTTCAGTTCATCACCAGCACCATACACGTTCGAGACGTTTACTACAGTAAGGTTCGGTGTTAGAACATGTTAAACCCTACAAAAGATTTCAAGAACTGTCCTAAAGAGAAATGCGTGTGTTGAATAATTGACAAGTAGAAAGCTAGAGCTTCTTGTAACCTACGATGATGAGCTTACAATATTTGACACTTAAAAAGTAATCAAAATGATCCATAACGTTTAGTTAGCCTATGATGATAAACTGTTACATATTATCCTTCTGCTGTAGACCCCCACATATTTACATGCTGCTAGCATTCCAGTTCTCGAATATTTCTATGAGGCCATCCCTGAAATTTCTGCTTAAAAAGGTTTCTAGTTCATGCTATTAAAATACATAAATGAAGTCCTAAATGTGTCAAAAAGTTCACTAAATGACAGAGTGCCAAGCGTATAGTAGATCTGTTTACAAATCCTCAATGAAAAAAAAAAATTATTCACCCAATGATATAGAGAGTGTTAATCCATAACTGATCTGGGGGGCCTTTTCACATCAATCTAACAGAAGCATAAGAAATCTCTGTTTCTGTGCTAAAGAGATAGAGTCGAAATTCCAAGGAAGAGAACAAGAACTAGTACTGGTAGACGAATATAATCAGTCATTTATGCCATTCATAGGTAAGACCTTCATATAACAATCAATAAAGTTCTTGAACAATGAAGAACAGTCATTTCTCTCTCTTTCTCTTTCTCTTTCTCTTTCTCTCTCTGTTTTTTTTTGTCTCCTGTATGAGAAGATTAAAAAAAAAAAACTTACATGGAGCATCAATGAACTTTTGGCTAGACATGATTAAGATCCCCTTTTTGATTAAGATCTGCAGAAACCAGAGAACAAAACTATGGATCAAGTTGACAAAATTCAAAATGATTGTACAACGTTTCTGGTGAAGGAGAACAGGATTTTCTGATCAAGCAGTAGTAGATGTATCTTACAGAAAAATTATGAAATGGAAATTAAGCAGAACAGCTACCAGAGCTTGATTATGAAAGAGCTGAGGATGCACCCAAACTTCGATGAACTATGTAGGTTCCTGAAGAGGGGGACGTCGGCCAGTCCTAGAAACTGGCAACGTTGAAGACCAGGGGTGGTGCTCTTTCTTAAAATTCAGTGGCTAGAAAATCCAATCCGTCAACATTTAATGACAAAGGTTTATGAAATCCAAATTAAGATGGGACTACTGGATTTAGGATATCGCACGAAAGCAGGTGAGAGGGTGAGGAATAGTTGCCCCATCCGCTCGACCTTCGCGCTACTAACGAGCTATACATCTGATTAAGATGGGCTTTAACTGTATCTTTTTCGCAACGATGCTGGTAAGAAAGTATCTGGTAAAACTCCCTGTGTAATTTAGTCAATATTACTGGAGCTTTTGTTGTTTGACAGGTTGCGTAGTAATACTTTGCCGACTTTTACAGCACTGAACTATTCTCAACAAAACCTTGTATATCTTTCATTACCAAACTTTCATAAAACATATAAACTTCACCTGTGAAAAACCTCAGCGGTTGTCTATCAATTTTCTCTTTCTTTCACCTAACTGGTGATTCTCTCATTCTTTGAAACTCAAGAACTAAAATAAAATTTACAAACTAAGGGGAGTAAAAAGAAAATTTGACAAAATCAGAAAAGCTAAAGGGCACTGACACAAAAGTTTTTTTAAAAAAAAATTTAAAAGGCCTCCCATTTTATTTGGGCCTCTTCTTTTGAACAATAAAGCTGCTTTATATATATATATATATAATCGAGTGTAATTCAGAAGCAAGATTTTATTTTTTAGATTGAGTTAGCTATATATAATAATAAGTATATCAAAATAAATTATCAACCTCGAACTTTAATAAAATTAACATTAAATGATCAATTTAAAAAAAAATCAATGACCAAAGAAGAAAACAAATAAAAAAAAGAACCGCAATTGACATTATATTTTTCTTAAAAATAAAAGGCATGTCTGTCATGTTTTTCACATATTTTTTAATTAAATTTTTATAGATAAATTCAAATAAATTATCAACCTCAAATAAATTATTAAAAAATAAAATTAAAAAAAATAAACCACAAAAAAAGACAAAAAGAAGAAGAAGTAAAACACTATGCAAAAGGCTTCAGTTATTTTTTTCTTTAACATACCATTCTTTAAGAAAAGACTCTCATCTTTATTCTTTATTTTATCCGCTCCCTTGCGTAATAATAAAGCTATATTTATTTTTTATTTTGAATTTTACACTTCATTATCATTTATATTTTAATTTTTTTTCAATAAAATATCAAGAAAAAAAAAAGAGGAGGAAATTAATGCGTTCATTTCCATTCTGATCCTTATCATTAATATTTTATCCAACAGAACCTTAAAAACACGGAAAAATCTATGATTGGTGTCCGGTTTGCCGATGAAAAAACAAAAGAACAATTACAATTAAAGAATCATTAAGAGAAAAAGCCGCCATGGATAATCATAAAGTTGATGCTAGACGACAAGTAGCAAGACACGGTTTTGCGTCGCCACGAGGGGCCATAAACGAAGAACGAGGACCTGTTGCCGTTTGCAATAGAAAACTACATTGCGTGGTGGGTCCGCCGAGCGACAACCCACTGCTCTAGACTGGGAATAGAAGACCCTTTGATCATGCTCAACTGGCTTTGGATCATTTGCATGCACAAATTAGACCAATAAATTATTGTTTGAATTTTTTTAGAATTTTATTTATTTTATATTTTACTAAGCTAGGGTCAAATTAGCTCATGCTCAAACAATCGTAGATTTTTTTTTATCGAATATTGATTATTTAAATTATTAATATTCAAAACTTTTACTTTTGAGTTTTTTTTTTTTTTTAACAGTTTAGAGTTATAATGTTTTTTTGGTGACAACATCTTTCTACCCCGCGATAAAAGAGTATTGTGAGGGATCAAAAGGTAGAGCAGAAAAAACCTAATACATAGATTTGATTGGTTGATCAGCTATCAAGGAGAGACACAAACACAGCTGGCAATGGAGAGAGGGAGGCTTCACTCGGCGAACCAAACCTAGATCTATTTTATTTTTTAAATGGGACCTATATAGGGATCATGATTATACGATAGGCATAGGTGTAGGCACTGGAGACATAATCCATAGTCAATTTTTTCGCAGAAGTGTTCCCAATGTTGATAAAAAGTTTCTTTAATGAAATCTTTTTCTTTTAAAAAATTATTAAACAGGTGTTAGAGTTTGTGAATTTTTAATTGAAGAAATTTTTTTGTTATTAGAAGGTAGAATTTGCAAGATAAAAACTCACTTCTGATACCGAATACTTGCAATATAATATTTTAGAAGATAGAGCTCGTCTTGATATGCCTATAATTTTATCATGGCAAACTATGAAAAACAAATATGAATTTTGGAGTTTATACAAGGTGACTAAAGAGATTTTATGTTTATATATATATATATATATATAAGCAATTAAATTGCTATTACTTGCCTTCTTGCTAAATTAACCTTCTCAAAGGATAATTGCACAAAGATGCAAAAGGATTTGGACGGCAAGGAACGTGAAGAAGTTAATCTTCTAGAAGAAGCTCAAACATAATTGCTTGGTGGAGACAACGTTGACATAACAGGAACAAAAGAACCAGATGAGTAGCGAAGAAATTAATGACTATAACTTGTTGGGTGATCAAACTAAATCCAAGGACTTCATAGAGATTTCTGATTATGCAACCAATCAACCTCAAGCTCAAAAAATCTAGAAAGCAGTAACTGACAATGTTACAGAAGAGCATGAATTGATTCGTGTAAATAAGCAGGGATTGAAAAAAAAATGGAAAAATAAGAATCAAAAGCATCAATGTCACAAAGGAAGATCATGTTTGCCGAAATGTAGAAGTTGATTGTAATAGTAGGCTGAACAACCACTGTGACCACCGTGGAGCTTAGACAGGAGTAATGTGACTTGAGGTGGTCTCTGAAGAGGTCGCTAGCGACACATGGTGGCTGAATGGAGCAGCAGAGGAACATGGAATAATCCGAGGGCTCATTACATGATTGTTAATTATGGGATGTAACCAGTGTTTTGAAACCTGCCCGGTCTGGCAGGTCGACCCAGGATCTAGCTGACCCGGGGCTGGAACCGGGTCAAATTGATAAAAAAATAGGGTAAGCCGTGACCCGACCAACCTGGCGGGTTGACCCGACGACCGTGTTGACCCAGCAAAATCCAGTTACAATTCGTTGACTTTTTTTTTTTTTTACTAAAATGATATCGTTTTGAAATTTTTTTAAAATAAAAATTGACCCGGCTGACCTGAATGCCCAGTTAAAACCTGGTGACCCGGTTAAAACCCGGCCACCAAGCCTTGAACCGGGCCGGCCACCGGGCTAGATTTTAAAACTTTAGATGTAATATTATTAATTTTATAATATTTTGGGTGCATGTTTCAATGCTAGGTTGAGCATAGAACGTTGATAATTTGGATAAGCATAGCATTTGTCCTTGTGCTGATATATTGTAGCATCTCTTTGAATTTTACTTACTTGATGAAGAGCGAAAGACAACAAAATTCTTCGGGTCTTAAAATTTTATAAAGAAGACTTTGAAATAAGATTTTTAAATATCAAAATCGGATGAAAAATAACATATAAAGTTATTTAAACAGGAGCTAGACCGACCCTGCTAGTCAATAAAAACCTAAACCAAAGAACATAATTAAGAAAACACTCCTACGAAAAATTATTGATTGTAAAAGCTAAAAATATGATAAGACATGTTGATACGAACATGAGCCAACAGATTCAGCAACTGGAATTATAATAGATTAATAAAATTGACAAATATGCATACGTACATGAGTACATCAATAATGATAATGGTTCCATTGACTCTCCAGGCAATTATTTTATTACATTTTGTTTAATCTCATATACATCAAGTGCCTGAAATACATATATATATATAACCACAGGAGGTAGTGAAATAAATCGTGCAGAACTGCAAGCGGCGGGAGACCTCTCTCTTCTGTGGATCAAACATCTTCACTCATCAGAATAATAACTATATTGCGAAGCAATTAATTCTGAAAATTTGCGGGAACCTACAACATTAAATCAGTACCTTGTGATGCTAGTTCTGCAGTCCAAGCTGGTCCTTCTCGTTGTTTATCTTTTCACATAAAGCATCGACTATCACTTGCAAGGAGTGTTTTTCATTTTCTAACAGTGCAATTTTCGCTCGAAGCTGAATTACACTCAAGCTTTCTGGATTGTTGATTTTTCTCGTTAATTGATTAATGTTATGTTTGAGCTGTGAATTTTCACGCTGGAGATCTTTATCATCGGAGCCACCCTGACCAAAAAATGATTAAAATAATAATGAATAGTTACCCTATAGATAAAATGAGTCAATCAAAGAAAAAAACTTTTGATCAGAATGTCATCAGCCTCATTTTTCTATCTATTAATTTATGACATAATTATAAACGCTGGAGATCTGTTTTGACGTAAGATTTCACCACTAGGAAAAAATTGACATGAGACTCCAGTATGAATTTGTTGCTCGGAAGAGATCCTAACGTGGTTAATCCTGTAAACCAAGTCACCGGGTAGGGCATATAAATAGAGGAACCAGGAATAACCTATGACTTGCCTGTCTATATCCTCGAAAGGATGATTAAATCTGTTGTGTATGGTCCCACACCGTGTGATGGTGGGACCATCACATTAAATGTCATGTGATGGCTGTCTCTTGGTGTAAATATTAATATGGTTCGGGTACTCTAGCTATAAGAAGAGGCAGCAGAGCAGCCTGTGTTCTTTCTTTGATTTCCAGCTCGTTCACCGTTGGATTGGGCTGAGATTTTGACAGCAGCTTTTAGACACGTTGATCTTCATTCTGGACGGTCGGATCGAAGATTGGTGGTGTGGAAGCTGTCCGTTTTGACAGAAAACGGGGCTGTCAGTTTTGTGAGTTTTTCTCAAACAATTCTCCTTTAATCTTGTTGTAATCCGAGAATAAGTTGTTCTTGATGATATATATATTGTATCCCTTAGTTGAATCTGAGAAAGAATGATTGTGAACCCATTATTTGTTGATAGTGGAAGTTTTTAGGTGGACTACGGTCCCGTGGTTTTTTCCACATCGGGTTTTCCACGTTAAAAATCTTGGTGTTGATTTTCTGATTATTTGCATTATATTTGGTCATTGTTTGAATCTGTTTTACTGCACAAAGAGGGAAAGAATTGGGACTTGTGAATTGTAATTGTATTCCGCTGAATTGATCCGGGTAAATTGGTGTTCGGTTGTTCCGAGTTTTCCCAACAAAGTGGTATCAGAGCACTAGTTGTGTAGATTGAATTTCTTGTGCAGTTAAAATGAAAAAGGAAGATTCGGGCATGATAAAGCTTACTTTCTCAAATTATTTTCTATGGAAAACAATGATGGAAGATCACTTATATTGTAATGATTTGGTTTTGCTGATTGAATGTAAAGGAATAAAGCCTGATGATATGGATGATGCAAAATGGAATGGACTAAGTAGAAAGGCTACTGCTAATGTTAGAAAATGGGTATCTTCTAAGTCCATTAATTATATTTCTCAAGAATATGATTGTTATACAGTTTGGAAGATGTTGGAAGAAACATTTGCTAAGGAGAGTGCACAAAACAAGGTTTCTGTAATTAGAGACCTTGTGAATTTGAAGTATAGAGATGGTAAAGATGCTTCAGTGCATATAAATGTATTTCAAGGTTCTTGAATCAGTTATCATTGATGAATCTGGAGTTAGCCGATGAAATGCAAGCACTAATCCTACTGAGTTCATTGCTGGATAGTTGGGAGACTTTGGCGGTGCCACGTAGCAATTCTACTCCGAATGGGAAGATCACTTTGAAAACAGTGAAGGATTGTATCCTCAATGAAGAGAAGAGAAGGAAAAGCACAAGTACTTCTGAGTCTCATGCACTTGTTACAGAAAGTCGAGGGAGAAGTCCAAGCAGATTCTCTCACGGTAAGCAAGATAGAAAATCCAGCAATAGAAAAGGCAAATAGAAGCCAAGAGGAAGATCTCAGTCAAGGAAGGGTTTTAAGTGTTATTATTGTGACAAACGTGGGCATATGCAGAAAGATTGCAAAAAGTATAAAAGAGATAAAAAGGGTAAAGATGAAGACAAGAATGAAGAGAATGGTACAACTGCAGTTGTATTTGATGGTGATGTTGCCATTGTTTGTGATGATGGTTGTGTTAATCTTGCATGTCAGGATACCACCTGGGTTGTAGATTCAGCAGCTTCTTACCATGTTACACCCCGACGTGATTTTTACACATCCTACACTGCTGGTGACTTTGGTCAAGTTAAGATGGGAAATCAAGGGATGGCTAGTGTTATGGGCATTGGAGACATTTGGTTGAAAACCAATACTGGGTGCAAGTTGTTACTCAAAGATGTTAGGCATGTGCCTGATATGCACCTACACTTGATCTCTACAGGTACTCTTGATGAAAAAGGCTATCACAATTACTTTGGAGATGGTAAATGGAAGCTTTCTAGAAATTCTCTGATTGTTGCTAAAGGGAAGAAGATGGGTCTCTACATGTCACAAGCCAAGGTGATCAAAGGGGAGGTGAATGCAATTGAAGATTGCTCTACTGATCTGTGGCATAAGCGGCTTGGACATTTAAGTGAGAAAGGCCTTGGCATCCTTGCCAAGAAGAACTACCTTCCATTAAAAGGTATGAACTTGAACACATGTACTCATTGTTTAGTTGGCAAACAACACAGAGTTGCGTTTCAAAGATCACCTTCACATAGAAGATCACATGTACTTGATTTAGTTCATACTAATGTTTGCTCTATGATTGACAAGTCTCTTGGAGGTGCATTGTACTTTGTTAGTTTTATTGATGATCACTCCAGGAAAATTTGGGCCACTTGTTTGAAATCCAAAGATCAGGTGCTTGATGTCTTTAAGGATTTCCATGCCAGAATTGAAAGAGAAACTAGTAGAAAGCTCAAATGTATTCGAGCTGACAATGGTGGTGAATACAGGGGTCCTTTTGAGAAGTACTGCAGGGAACATGGTATCAAGTTAGAGAAGACAGTTCCTAAAACTCCATAGCAGAATGGAGTGGCTGAGAGAATGAACAGAACCATTGTTGAAAGAATTAGATGTATGCTCTCTCATGCAAACCTACCCAAGTCCTTTTGGGGTGAGGCAATGAAGACTGTAGTTGCCATAATCAACCTTTCTCCATCAGTTCCTCTTGAATTTGATGTTCCAGATAGAGTTTGGAAAGGAAAAGATGTCTCTTATGCACACTTAAGAGTGTTTGGATGCAGGGCATTTGTACATGTTCCTAGAGATGAAAGGTCTAAGCTTGACAACAAGACAAAGCAGTGCATTTTCTTAGGTTCTGAAGATGATGAGTTTGGCTATAGATTGTGGGATCCAAAGGAGAAGAAAATTGTAAGAAGTAGAGATGTTATCTTCTTTGAAGATCAAACCATTGAAGACTTTGAATAGAAAGAGAAAACAAAATCTACTGTTTTTATTCCAACTAATTCAACTCCAAGACCTGCTCCACAATTACCTTTAATGCCTGCTAATCATGGGGGAGACTTGCAAAATGATGATAATGGTGGTTCTCTTATTGAGCCATTAGTTGGTGATCTTAAAGCAGCTAATAATGATGTTGATGTTATTCCTAAACAGGTTATGCAGGAAGCTCCAGATGAGCCACAATTAAGAAGGTCAACTAGACCTCGCCAACCTTCCACCAGATATTCTCCTCATGAGTATGTGTTGGTCACTGATGGAGGAGAGCCAGAATATTTTGATGAAGCTATATCACATGAGAAGAAAAGTGAGTGGTTGAAAGCAATGCAAGAAGAGATGAAATCCTTGCATGAAAACCATACCTTTAAGTTAGTGAAGCTTCCTAAAGGTAAGAGAGCACTCAAGAACAAATGGGTGTTCAGGTTGAAAATTGATGAACATTGCTCACAGTTAAGGTACAAGGCAAGATTGGTTGTGAAAAGCTTCGGTCAGAAGAAGGGTATTGATTTTGAAGAAATCTTTTCACTAGTGGTCAAGATGTCTTCAATCCGAGTTGTGCTTGGCTTAGCTGCTAGTTTGAATATTGAAGTAGAACAACTTGATGTGAAAACTGCCTTTCTCCATGGTGATTTGGATGAGGAGATCTACATGGAGCAGAAGCAAAAGGTAAAGAGCAGCTAGTTTGTAAGTTGAAAAAGAGCTTATATGGGTTAAAGCAAGCTCCAAGACAATGGTATAAAAAGTTTGATTCTTTTATGGTGGATCATGGTTATGACAGGACCACTTCTGATCATTGTGTATTTATGAAAAGGTTTCCAGATGGAAACTTTATTATTCTCTTGTTGTATGTGGATGATATGTTGATTGTTGGCCATGATGCTAAGAAGATTCAGATGTTGAAGGAAAAGTTGAGTAAGTCTTTTGCAATGAAAGACTTGGGACCAGCAAAACAGATTCTTGGTATGAAGATCACACGTGACAGGAAGAAGGGAAAACTTTGGCTATCTCAGGAGAGATATGTTCAAAAGGTACTTGAGAGATTCAACATGAGCAACTCCAAACATATTTGTTCTCCACTTGCAAGCCACTTTAAACTAAGTTCTAAGCAGTGTCCTTCAAGTGATGAAGAAAAAGATGAGATGAAAAAGGTTTCTTATGCATCCGCAGTTGGTAGCTAGATGTATGTCATGGTTTGCACAAGGCCGGATATAGCTCATGCAGTTGGTGTGGTTAGTCGATTCCTCTCCAATCCTGGTAAAGAACACTGGTCGGCAGTGAAATGGATACTCAGGTATCTCAGAGGTACTTCTAGTTTCAGCTTATGTTTTGGTAATGATAAACCTGTGTTGGATGGATACACAGATGCAGATATGGCTGGTGATGTTGATTCTAGAAAGTCCACATCAGGATACTTGATGAAGTTTGCAGGGGGAGCAGTCTCATGGCAATCAAGGTTGCAAAAATA